GTCGGAAGCCGAGGGAAGAATCACGTGCACGGCGCTGTGGCAACTGCGGAGAGACTGGTCATAATACGCGCACCTGTAATACTATAGAGGAAGTATCTGAGGAAGAAATTTCTGAATAGTGTTTTTTAATTAGAGGCGTTGTGGTAGAGTTCTTACAATTTCAATCGCGAGTGTAGAAAATTTTGGCCGGTTCGCTTGTTTGGCCGGTTCGCTATACATGCACGTTACTAGTATTTAGAAACTATTCTTAAAATTCTTAAGATAGTAATTCTAGATCAAGCTCCTCTTTTAATAATCTTATAGATTCTATAAGTCCTAGTACTAATAATCTCCTTACTTTTATAGCTTATAGCTAATTTTTAAAAGATTATTAAAACTTTTCTACCTTACCTTTATATATAAATATATACTTTTTATATCTAGGTTTAATATACTTATTAATATAAATAGCCTTATAAATTTATAGTAGTTACTAGAATCTTAGTAAGTATAAGATATAACCTAGCTTTAGAGGTACCATTTAGTAGACTAAGTAGTAAATATTACGTTTTTTAAATATATAAAAGTTACTAGAATCCTAGAATATATAGAGGTTATTAGAATACTAGAATATATAAAGGCTACTAGAACTTTAGAAGTAGCTCTCTAATAACTAGAAATTATAGTAGTTAAAGAAGATTTATAGACTTTTCTAATATGTTTAGTCCTAATACTTAAAATTATATTCTAAAAAACCTTTAATAGTATTTACTCTATACTCTAAGTTATATCCTAGAAACCTTGTAATAATACTTAGAGTAAGTCTAAAATATAATATCTTTTTAGTCCTATCATAGCAAATACTTTAAAAAGAAGTCTTCTCTTTTAGATAAGACTACTTTAATACTAGTAAAGTATATCTTCTTTACTATATAGCCTACTGTGAGAATGCACGTCTAGGACAGTACAGGTTGATAGATTAAATTGACTACGAGGAGCGAAAGAGGTCCCAGGACCTGAAGCTATTTGAAGTTGCGCTCGTCGCCTCGTGGCTCACGTGACTAAAACCACATTCACTATACACAAATCAAAATCGTCACACCTACTATTTTATACTATATACTCTATCTATAGTATAGCTAACTAAAAATCTAAAGAAATTTATCTAAATTTCTAATAATAATATTTTAGATAATTAAAGAAATACTTCTAAATTTAAAAAAGATTATTTTAAGTAGTAAGAAGTTCTAGTAATTATAATCTTTTAATAATAGATAGTTATATTAAAAATTCTAATCTGTCTTAGACTTGTTTTACTAATACTAATTCCTATAGTCTAGCTAATTCTATCTTGTCTAGTATAATTATAGAGATCTTATTTATAGTAGATAGGTTTTCTCTTTTTTTATTTACTCTAGATTATATAATTAATTATATTTATAGGTTTAGAATAATCTATATATTATTACCTAGTAATTCTTAAAGCTATTCTTTAGTAGTTTTATAAAGTTATATCTAAAGAAATATATTATATAGTATTAAAGTTAGCTCTCTTATAATATAATTATTTGAATTTAGAAAGCGATTAATCCGCTAGTATATTACATCTTATAGGTCTAGAAAGAATAACTAAGCGAATTATAGGACCTATTATAGTTTTACTTCTAGTAAAGCTTAGTAATAATATATTATTCCTAGATTCTAAATAATTATACTTCTTTTCGACTATTTACTCTAGTATTAGCCTTATAGGATATAAAGGTAAAAGCTAAGGCGTTATTATATATTCGAATATTCTTCTAAAACTTATAGTTTTCGAGTCTATTACTAGTAAATAGATTTTATAATAGTTATAGAGGTTTTCTAATTAAAAAAAGTTCTATATCTCCTTATTTATAATAGAACTTAAAATTACTAGGTTTTCTTAATATTAACTCCTCTAACTTAACTAATAATAGATAAGATAATAGTTATAGATCTTATTATATTAACTTATGTAAGATTATATTATTATATCTATAGATTATATTTAGTTAGAAACCTATATAGGTATAGGTTCTATAGTATAATTGGTAGTAGGGGTTATTAATTAGAGTTAGGAGTAAGTAGTCTTAATACTTATATTATAGGTAGTATAAGTAGTAGCTTAGAAGCTAGCGGCCTTAAGACTTATATTATAGGTAGTATAATGTCACGAATCACGTGCTCACGTGATACTTGTCATAATAAGAGGCGCAATCCTCGACAGGCACATCCAGGTTTCTTATAGCAAATAGGGATCGTTTGGAGTAGCTAAGCGATCCAGGGATTTCTCTGTATTGTTATCACGTGATATATGTCGCTAGACGGGGCGACTGGTCTACCAGTCTAGCAGCGACCGAGCGACGAGTCTAGCAAGCTAGCACAAGAGAACGAAGGTTCTATATAAGACTGGCACGTCTGCCATTAGATAGGAGCTTCGTGCTCAACTTAGTTATCAATCTTATCATATTAGTTTGACATCTTTGATACAAGTAACGAGTTCACTTCCAAGTGAACAACCCGATAGTCTTCTTCTTATCATAGCATACCAACCAGCGAACACCCAGCCAAGTTTAGTTAGCCAGTTTGAGTATTCGTTACATATAAGTAGTAGCTAAGGTTATAGATTAGAGCTAGGAGCTAGTAGCCTTAAGACCTATATTAAGCGAGGATCATTAAGTCTTTTAGGTAGCTATATCTACTTCTAAGGAGGTTTAGGTTATTAGCTATTTAAAAATAAGTAAGTAATTAGTAATTAAGTATTTTAAACCTCTAAATCTAGACCGTTTAGGGATTCTTATAAAGGGATTCGAGAAGTTACTAGGGTTACTAGAGTAGAATTAGGATTATAGGTATAAAATCTAGGGTTCTTATTTAATATAAGGATTATTCGCGGCCGTTTTCTTCTTCTTAGTAATATAAGGTTAGTAGTAGTTAAAGTATAGGTAGTACGACCTATAAGGGTATTATTTAGAAGATTAGTTATATTCTTAAGTAGCTTCTATACTCTTTTCGTTTAACTTAATATATATTAGTATATATTATAAAGTAAGAAGTCGAATAAATATACTTTATAACTTAAATAGATTTTATATAGCTTCCTAACCTTATTTTAAGGAAATTTATTTACTACGTAGTATTACCTATAAAGTTAACTTATATAGAATATAGGTAGTAATATATTAGAATTAGGCCGATCTATCTTAAGAAGTAAATAGGCGTAAAATAAGTATTAATATAGAATAATATATAGAATATAAAAAGTCTAGTTTACTATACTATATATGAAAACTTTAAACGCTATTACTACTACCTTAGATATAAGAGTAAATTATAACTTTTTTCTCTCTATTATTATTACTTTTAACTAAAGAGTAAATAGTAAGTTTATACCTTGTATTAGTAAGGTAGTAAAACATATACTAAGATATACGGTCGTAACTATAAATCGTATATAAATACTACTTATAAATCGTACTATAAGTAAATAATAGAGTAAAAAGGTCATCCTTTCATTTTAATAGTAATATAAAGTCCTACTAAGTATCTAATAATTTAGATACGATTTAGGCTTAATATAGGCTGTTCTTTTCTTACTTACTAAAAATATAGATTGCCTAACTAGTTTTTTTCAGGTCTATTCCAGGAACGCTAAGAGCTAATTAACCCGAACGCTAAGGGCTAATCAACCCGTATAACCCGAACGCTAAGAGCTAATTAACCCCTGTCTCGCTTCGTGTAAAGACAATGTATATAAGATACCTAGGCCTTGATACTATGGAAGGGATTAAAGCCTTCTCGAGAACCAGTTATTAGTATAAACCGCCTAAATTTATTCTATTGTCCCCCCTACGCTGTTTTTGGAAAAAGTATATTTTCAAATAAAGAGCGTGAGTATTCTATTCAGACCTTCCGCCCTCTTAAGACCAGCTGTAAAGCGGAAACTTCGAATTAAAAGACTATACTATAAGCTAATTAATCTTCTGTATATTTGAGCCGGATTTCCAAGGCCTGATCTATTTAACCCCTTTCCGGAAACCACACAAGGGGAACTACAAGTACAGTACAATTAACATCACCTATTGCCTGAATACTTTATCCTAGGCGAAATATTCATGCGAACCATTCTCGATTGTTTCGCTCGCGGTACAAAACACCGATAGAGTTTACTACCAGTAACATCCTATTATCAAAGGCAGCTAGACCGATCCAGGTTAGCACTTGATACCTCTTCAAACACTCCCCATCTCTTTAACAAGTCTTTTGAAAACTTCTCAAACCCGACTTCAATTCTCAAGGCCGCAGACAGATTCTAAATTCGAAGTTGACTTCTCTTTGCTTATAATTTATGTTATTTCTTGAGAGGCGTAACACGGTGTTGCGAACCTTCCAACCGGGTAGTCGCTCTAGAACTGGTAGTTGTCTACGACACGAGTCAATCCAGACCTACGGATCGAGTTCTGACCGGAATAGAACTACTCCCGAGACTGAAAGAATCATTTCGTGACACCCCTTTCGACACACGCATACACGTTTCAACGCAACGCAGTGAGGAGCAACTGCCACCTTCTAAGCAAGGTTCTGGCTGATGAGAGCATCGACCTTTTTGAAGTACGTGCACATGTAAGGCTGAAATCGTTCTGTTTTGGTGTGGCTTTAAAGGCGTATATTCCCAGTCTGGAAGGGTTACCAAGTTCACAGCTATACAATATTTCTTCATGTTGATATAGGGGGACTTGGGTATTCCATGATCGACGTATACATCAATCCCGGATCTCAATAGCTCCCGGTTAGAAGAGAGAACCATCTTGTGGTCTGGTATAAAGCCTTGTACTTCTCCCAAGACCTCCTCCCTATTTATCTTAAGTCCATTAACAATTTTTCTGTTCTGACCTTTTCCTCTTCTTCTTCTTCTTCTTCTTCTCTTTCCTTTTCAACGAACAGTTGTTTTCATTGCGTGAACTGCTGGCCAGCGTCTTTTTTCATTTCATATATCCACCATGCGTTCCGAACTTATCTCCAAGGCTCTCGCCATCGTTTTCTTGGTCGCTGCACCTCTTGCTTCCGCCCAGCCCGTGAAGGGCGGCGGGGTTCAATTGAGCGCTCGGGATCTCATTTCCTATTTGAATTTCGCACGATCCGTATTCTCTGACGAGGCGGGAGCGGAGTCTTCTATCGAGAATGATGCGTACGGGGAAGTTGAGAGTGACGATGAGGAGGAATCCGTTGAGGTTAAGAGAGACACTCCTGCCGCGGACGATGCGTATGGGAATATCGAGGGTGACGAAGAGGAGGATTCCGATTAAGACTGTGGGGGGTCATAGTAAGTTGCAACTGACTTGTAATCTTACTTCTAGGGAGCAAAGCTAACCCCGGGAAAGACTACAAAAAGCTCGAGGCAACAGAATCGGGGGTAGTGATTAAGCTGCGATACTGAACATTACCATTTACTAGGATGATTGGGTTGTATAACGACTATATGCCTGCTTGTTTACAAATATCAGCTACCAAAAAATAAAACAAGGAATGTTGCACAATTCGCCTACGTATAACATTTAATTCATTTTTGTCTAGGGGCCAACTAACTCATACATAAGAAGCAGATATGGAAGATGTGTCGCCAGACAATTTCTGGGCTGCTCCCCAATATCCCTAGGCCCGTGATTGCAACCTTACCATTCGGCGTGACTTACACCCGAGAAGCCTATACTACCTATAGAGTTAAAATAAACTTCATCTGATAAATTACGAAACCTCGCAAGATCTGACATACAACCTACTCACTTGGTATCGTCTGACCGATGACATCTACAGTAAATATGAGTTCCTTACCAGTAGAAGCTCCAAAGTTTTCACCCTTTCTCCTCTTTCTCCCACAGACCCCATCTCAGAAAAACCTCATCCTAGTCCCCAGTCCCCTCGCCATAACTACCTCCTCCTACCGGACCCTCTACCGTTCCGTGCATGCCTCACCTGAATTTTTCATGATGGGTTTCGGACCATCTTGGCCTCCCAAGAATTGGAGCGATAAAGAGACCGAGGCGTGGATGAGACGATGTGATGTCGATAAATCCTGGGGTCCACGGGGAATGGGAGATTTTGCTATCGGCCTTCTGCCTGGAAAGATAGAGAATTCAGGTCGGGAGGGGGGTGCAAGCGGGTTGAGAATCTTGAAAGAGGGGGAATGGGAGAGTTTTATGGAGGCTCGAGGTGGAGAGGGGCCGTTCTTGGAGGGGTTGGAATATGTGGGGTATGCGGGGATTAGAGATGCCACTACCACTTCTCTTGTATCTGTTGGTCGCCCAGAGACCTTCCCGGGCTATTTGGAGATGATCGAGCTGAGGTACGGCATCGCGCCTGAATACTGGGGACGAGGCCTTGCGAGGACTGCAGCGGAGGGGGTTATGGAGTGGGGTGTTTTCGAGCGCGGGGTTAGAAGGTACATTGCCGAGACCGAGAAGACGAATGTAAGAAGCGGGAGAGTGGTAGAGAAGATGGGATTCCAAAAACTGAAGACGAATTACTTTCAAAATGAAAGTGAGTTTGAGTGGGGGATTGGATGCAGCGAGGTTCTCAGACCAGGGAAGAGGGAAGAAACCGGGGAAGGCGTGAGAGGTGGGATGAAATTGGGTATCTATCTACGGTAATTGACTAAACTACCCCCTAATTAATTATAAATCACTAAAACACGCCTTAGATAATTGTCTACTAACTAAACCACCCTATAATTTATACCCCACTTTTTAAGGTGTGGTTTAGTCGCTTAAGTAGCAGATATCGCAAATAAGGGGTGTTTTTATCTATAAATACTAAGTATATTAAAGTTATAAGATTTTATTTCTTTATTAGTTATTATATAGAAATATACTAGGAAATTAATAAACAAAGTAAATTAATCTATTAGTTATTACTTCTTACTTCGTAGTCTACTTCGAGTTAATTTTAGTAAAGGTTAAGTCTAGTACTCCTTATTCCTACGTTTATACTTATTATTAGTTATTATTCCTTATTCCTAAGTAATATCCTTAATTCCTTTAACTTATTATTCCTAAGTAATATCCTCGAGTCCTTATCCCTATACCTTAATTCCGCTATCCTAACCTTATTATACTCTCTTCTTATAAAATAAGTATTTCAAATTAGGTCGCTTTTTATAAGAGTTCTCCTCTTTCTCCTTATACTAATTCGCTCGTCACTCTTTATCTATATTACCTAGTATACTAATAAGATCCTAAATTATAGGTTTAAGTTACTTTTATTTTATATTAACTTTTAGTTCCTTATCCGCGTTATAATAGTAGCCCTTAATTATACGCTAATTAGGTTTATACTTTACTATTTCTTCCTTACTAAATACGTTTAAAACCTTAGGGAACTTATTAGGTTTAATATATTTAGAGTAAATTACTCGGCCGCTAGAAGTATTAAATCGCTTCTACTTATATTATTCTACTAATTAATCCTTTTTATTAAGATCTAAATTAATTATTATTTATCTTACGCCGCTAGGCGTAAAGCCTACCTAAAGGGTATGCGGTACTTTGTAACGAATACTCAAACTGGCTAACTAAACTTGGCTGGGTGTTCGCTGGTTGGTATGCTATGATAAGAAGAAGACTATCGGGTTGTTCACTTGGAAGTGAACTCGTTACTTGTATCAAAGATGTCAAACTAATATGATAAGATTGATAACTAAGTTGAGCACGAAGCTCCTATCTAATGGCAGACGTGCCAGTCTTATATAGAACCTTCGTTCTCAGAATATTACTTACTAAGGGATGTTGGTCGACAACCAACTCTGTCGACCATCACGTGACCAACACGTTGGTAAAGGTATACATCCATTATCCAACCAATTAACGGCTCCTGCTTACATAAGAAAACTCCCTTTGGTTTTCCCAGAACACATAAAGCTCCCAGGCCCATATGTGCTCGGCTTGTCATGACGCCGTCTGGTCTTCACTTGTCACGTGTGCACGTGACTCGTGACATACTTCTACTCGTCTTAACTCGTATAGTATAGGATATAGGGAAAAGTAAGAATACTATAAATATTCCTAGGCTTTATAAAAACCTTAAAAAACCCTGCCTTTATACCTTCCGTATACTCTATTCCTTCGCCTTACCTTAATATAAGCCTCCTAATATAAAGTATAAGTTTTTACTACTCGTATATTAGCTTCTAAGGTACCTAAAGATAGATAGAGAGCGAGAGAGTAGGAGAAAGAGGCGCTAGAGTATATAACCCGACTAGAAATATAAGTAGTAATATTCTATACTAGCTCTTCTTTTTTATCTCAGTTACTAGTCTTTCCCTCTTTCTTTTCTTTATTCTTCCTTATATACTTATAGCTATTAGGGTACCTAGTTTTAATAACCGAGTCTAATATTATCTTCTCTTGTTTCTTATTACCTTCCTACTAGTCCCTCGTCCTAAAGCGTACCTAGAAGCCGAGTATAGAATCATTTATAAAATTATATATATACTTCGAAATACTATCTTATTACCCTCGAGGGAGGGACTAGACTGTAACGAATACTCAAACTGGCTAACTAAACTTGGCTGGGTGTTCGCTGGTTGGTATGCTATGATAAGAAGAAGGCTATCGGGTTGTTCACTTGGAAGTGAACTCGTTACTTGTATCAAAGATGTCAAACTAATATGATAAGATTGATAACTAAGTTGAGCACGAAGCTCCTATCTAATGGCAGACGTGCCAGTCTCATATAGAACCTTCATATCCCCAAAGTCGACAATGTCGCTCGCGAAATAGTCAATTTTCGACCTGCATGAGTCACGTGATTTACGTACAAAGAAATCCTTGGATCGCTTAGCTATCCTACGCGATCCCTATTTGCTATAAGGACCATGATGTGCCTGTCCTGTCAGAGCGCCGTTTGGACTAAATATTCACGTGCTTAACACGTGATTTGTGACATTTATAGAGATAAGCTACGACTCTTAGCGGTTATCCTAGCCCTAGGTTCTTTTGTTTTATACTTTTATCTTTTCTCCTTTTCTCTATACTTTCGAAAACAAGCCTTTATTCTTATTTTTATCCTCTCTTCTTATCCGATTCAGTAGTCGAGGGGTAAGTGTTCTTTGCTATTATAAAGCCTACCCCCTTCCTCTCGCCTCTTTAAGGTATTCCCTTCTATTTGAAATTCGATTATTTATTCGATTAGTTTTATTTTACTTTATTTCGAGAGGCTAGTAAATATTAGTCGGCTTTAATTAGCCTATCGTTAATAATTTATTAAAATTATTATATACGGTTATGAAAACTCTATAATCTAGCCTTACTACTAGCTTCTATCGTACTACTACTATAATAATAACTCTAGAATCTCGATTTCCCTCTCTTATACTTAATCTTAGCTCTAGGAATCGAATCCTAGGTTCGTAGAATATACTACGTATAGGTATTAAGCTATTATATCCCGATCTAAATTAATTAATAGAGATTTATTTCGCTTGTACTCCTCTCTTATGACTCTCTCTTCTTTTTATTCCTTAGTAATCTATTAATTAATCTACTACTTACTAGTCTCTAAGTTAATATTATTATTATCTCTATTAGGTTTATTATCTTATTTAATATTATTATCTAAAAATCCTTTAGAGGTAGAATATCTATTATTATCCTTATCTATTAATTCGTCCTCGCTATCCTCTTCTTCCTTTTTATCTACCGAGCTATAATCCTCCTTAAGTAACGTTAAAACTCGTTCGCGCCGGGATATAGTAATACTAGCTTTCTCGTAGTCTATAAGACTATTCAATAGTAGATTATTATTAATATCTTAGGAGTATGCGTTCTAATCTATAAACTCGTTATTTTCGAAATCTATTTCGTTATCTACTAAGGTAATATCCTTTACCTTTTAAGTACGTCTATAAGCGGATAGAATACCTATATAGGTTCTAGAGTTATAGCCGACTTTAGAATACTAAGCGTACTTACGAGTTAATAATTTATAGTCTCGACGAATCCGAGCCTTCTTTAGTCTACTAATATAGCGCTCGATCTCTAATAAAAGAATATCTTGATTTAGTTAAAGGTTATTAGTTACTAGTATAGGCTTAAAAGTAGTATTATACGTAGTTTTATAACTTAAGAGTAAATATCTATAATAGAAGAACTAAATAGGATTAATCGCGAGGTCTTTATAATAATTAATAGCGTATAAGTAAGTTAACTAATAACCCTAAAAGGTAAGGTAGGAATAAGTACGATTTTTAAGGTTAACTCAATAGTAGTATTTTTAAGGCCTATTAACTTAAAAGACGTCCCTACTATAAGGTATTATAACGTACTTTCGAGCGCTTAACGTGACGGTTATGGTCACGAGGGCTGGATGTCACATGCTCGCTTAGCGAGGCGCTAGCGCGCACGACCTGTATTTAGTTCCCAGCTCTCTTGAGCTCTCCTTCTTTCCTCGTCTTTTGTCCTAAGAATAGAGTGTTAATTGTTCTGAGTTCTACCTGAAGCACGTCTGTCACACTTAATAATCGTTTATTATATAACTTCTATAGCTTATTTATAAGTTTAGTATTCCTAGTAATTAAGGTATAACGTTAGTAGAACTTTTATAGTACCTAGGTGTGTATTATATTAAGTATCTAAAGTAGTTATATATTATAAAAGAGACTTTATATAGAATTAATACTTTCTATAATATTTAACGTATTATAACTAAATTACGATAGATTCTTCTTAATAACCTTATACTTTAGATATATATCGAGGGAAATAGTATTAATATACTTAAAGAGAGTCTATCTTCTATTATACTTCTTCTTAATTTCCTTAATCTTTAAGAATACTTTATTATAAGTTTCTTCGTCTCTTACCCTATAAAGTATCTACTAAAGTTTTCGTACTTCCTAGCTATAATAAAAGGCGATATTATCTATAATATATTAATAATATATAAGAGTATAAGCTAATAGAAATACCTATAGAAGCCCTTTTCGAAGACCTTTTTAATAATTACTAATTAGTACTTATGTTTCGTTCTTAGGTTATAATTAACGTAGTATTAGAAAGGCTAGTCTTACATAGCGGAAATACTACTTCTAATAAGCCTTACTCTTAGTTAATATAAGACGCTAATAAATAGTTAGTACTTCGTTATTCGCGTTAATTATAATAGTTATTATAAGGACTATCTTATACTTTAACGGAGTATATATATTATTAATTATAAGGAAGTAATAAAGGTATTAGATAGCCTTATAAAGTAGTCTAAGAGTAATAAAGTCTCCTTTAAAGACTCTATTAGGTACGTTATCTTTACTATCTACGATTTTAGGGAAAGATAGTAGTATAGATCTAACTTTTACAGTTATTTAATATAACTCGGAAAGAGCATTAACGCTTCCTACTTATCCTTTAGACTCTCCTTATATTATTTTTATATAGCTCGATAAGCTTACTATAATAGTATACTAAAGCCACGGCTATAAGATATCTTATTATTTACTAAATTCTTACTCTTAAAGTTGTCACGGATGCCAATAAAGTGTCACGAATCACGTGCAAGCACGGGACAAGTGAAGACCAGGCGGTGTCCTGACAGGTCGAGCACTATCATATCTCTTATAGCAAATAGGGACGCTTAGACTAGCTAAGCGATCCAGGGATTTCATTCCATTCGTATCACGTGACTAGTTGTGCTAGACAGGGCGACCGGTCGCGCGGTCTTGCAGCGACAGGGCGACTGGGCTAGCAAGCTAGCACAGGAACATGAAGGTTCTATATAAGACTGGCACGTCTGCCATTAGATAGGAGCTTCGTGCTCAACTTAGTTATCAATCTTATCATATTAGTTTGACATCTTTGATACAAGTAACGAGTTCACTTCCAAGTGAACAACCCGATAGTCTTCTTCTTATCATAGCATACCAACCAGCGAACACCCAGCCAAGTTTAGTTAGCCAGTTTGAGTATTCGTTACATAAAGGATAAAGTGTATACAGCTTTTGAATCAATTGCTAGAACTAAAACCGTAGGTACGCAGAAATCAAACTAAAGAGAGAAGAGAATCTGAAAGGAGCAAAGTTATTTAAGTTGTTCCAATGCCAAGTCTCGTCACGTGCTTGGCCAAGCGAATGAAATCCTGTCAAATGAAATCCAGCTCCGTCACAAAAGTTAGGATCTTATTCGATAGTGTAACGAATACTCAAACTGGCTAACTAAACTTGGCTGGGTGTTCGCTGGTTGGTATGCTATGATAAGAAGAAGACTATCGGGTTGTTCACTTGGAAGTGAACTCGTTACTTGTATCAAAGATGTCAAACTAATATGATAAGATTGATAACTAAGTTGAGCACGAAGCTCCTATCTAATGGCAGACGTGCCAGTCTTATATAGAACCTTCGTGTTCCTGAAGTCGACAATGTCGACTGTCGACATAGTCGATAATCGACTTCTCGACCAGGCGAGAAGTCGACCTGTATATATCACGTGACTTGTATACAAAGAAATTCCTGGATCGCTTAACTAACCTAAGCGATCCCTTTTTGCTATAAGAGCCATGATGTGTGTCCTGTCAGAACCCCGTCTGGACTAACTCCTCACGTGCTAGCACGTGATTTGTGACAGATAGCTTTACTATAGTTATAAAGAATATATTTAACGCTATTATTACTACGATTATTAAGATATATACTAAGTAGATAATTATAAGGTTTATATATAATAAGGATAGTACGCTTAGATTTTTAAAATAGGCGAACTTATATATAGAATTTATATTTAGATTTCTTGTTTTTGTAATTAAGAATATACTATTATCTAACTTATCTATCTTTATAATATTAAAGGATAAGTCGAGGTCGAAAAGTATAAACTTAATAGTATTCTTAGCTTCGTTTATACTATTCTACTTCTTACTAACCTATAGAGCTTCTAGTATATCTTTAAAGGCGCTATTTATACTAGCTTCTTTTTATTATATAAGTTAATTTTTAAGAGTATACTACGGTTAAATATTCTCGCGGTACTTTAGTCTCTCTCTTAGCTAGTATAGTAGTATAGTTATTATTATAGTAGTACTAGTAGTAGTAGTTATGTGACGGTTATGGTCACGAGGGCTGGATGTCACATGCTCGCTTAGCGAGGCGCTAGCGCGCACGACCTGTATTTAGTTCCCAGCTCTCTTGAGCTCTCCTTCTTTCCTCGTCTTTTGTCCTAAGAATAGAGTGTTAATTGTTCTGAGTTCTACCTGAAGCACGTCTGTCACAAGTTATAGGAGAATAGATAGTAGTATTATAGAAAAATCTATACTAGTACTATAATGTTATAGCTTTGATTCACTAGAAAATAGGTGTAAATATATATAAAAGTTAGTGAAGGTTAACTAATAGAAACACCTCCTATTTAGTACTTGAGCGACTAAACCACCCCTTAAAAAGTAGGGTATAAATTATAGGGTGCTTTAGTCAATTACCGATCTATCTATGATCTAAGTAACTACCTACGATGCTGTACTAGTATGGTCCCTATTCTATTATGTCCAAAATCCACCAAACTGAAGAACGTGACGCTTATCGCTATGCCGAATTCATCTGATGATGAAATATAGGGTAGGACTGATGTAACTTGAAAAAACAAAAAACAAAAACAAAAACAAAAAAAACGAAACAAAACAAAACGCTACGCCTTAGAGAGTGACTGGAAACGCCCGAGTCCAGGCCGAGGACACGATTTACTAAAAACTTCTCCTCCTCTTCCTTCCACGTCTTTCCCCCCTCCAATCATGCTCAACTCTGCTACTACTCCCATGAATGATTCTCGTTACAACCAAACCCCTCGCAACATTCGCTACCATCTCCAACCCATCATAGAGCTCCGGATCGTCTCCTCGAGCCCAGCTAGTCCTGAAGGAGGCTGCTGTAGCTGTAACAATTCGTTTGCCCTTTGGTCCAATCCATGGACCCTTTCGGTCGCTTAGGTGAAGTGCTTCGATTACCCCAGCAAGTGCTGCGACCTTTGAGGCCTCGAGGGCTCTGTTCTGGAGAACTTTTTGTCTGTCCTCGGGTAGAGGAAGAGATGAGTTGCGTTGATGATGGCGGTGTTGATGGCGATGGTGCGGTCGATGGCTATCCGTGTCTCTCATCCCGACCACAACTTCAACATCCGATTCTTCCTCGGATTGTTCAGCGGTCGAGAATCTGTCTTCGGGATGCCGATAGTAATCATTCCTTGGTGTCTTCCTTTCAAAACTGCCCTCTTTCTCTAACCGACCTTGAGGTTGTTCCTCGCCGTAGACCGTTCCTTCATCATTCACGATTATGGTCGAAACGTTGACACTCATCGAGCCTTGCGACGTTTCTTTCGAGGATGAAGATTCGCTGTCATGGTGGAAAACTTCCCGTTCCTTCTTTCGTAGCTTTCGTTTGAGATGTCTTAATTCTCTCCTGAGCTCGCCTTCGGTGGTTCTGTCACTCGCTCTATCTTCTGCCTCGTTACCTCTGGAGTGACTGTGGGGGCTTCTCTTGGATGTCTCATCGGCCCTTTCACGCTCGCGCTCGTCTTCATCGAGATGGTGTTTAGCAGCAGCCACAGCAGCGGTGAAGATAACCGGACCAAATTTAGAGAGGAAGGTATTGGTAGCATTCTTCAGGGCGGCGGAATCCTGTTTAGATGTTTTGGGGCTGTCTGGCATATCTGTTTGATTGAATGTATCTCAAGGTTGAGATGAAGTGGGTTGGCTATGGCTTGTAATGAGATATGCAAATTAACCAAATGAATGTTGGGATTAAAGAAAAACATGAAATAAAAGCACGCACAACGAGAGCAGAGAGAGTAGTACATAGACACAAATTAAGAATGGTAGTTTTATCAAGATGATTACCGGCACGCGCTTTCTCGTTCGCGCGTGACTATCATCGCGTGCACATAAATGAATCACCACTGGAACTTTCAGCGCACCAGACTTCTGGTTAGAAGCAATTCGCAGGTGTTTTATGGAACTATGTATATAAGATATAATACAATGTATAAGATAGCATATATATAGTATATATATAGCCAGCTGCAGGTGCGAAGTTTGACTCGCACAGGCCCAAATCCAAATTGGAAGTGCCCAGGCCTCTGGGTCATGTGCGAACGTGGCTGAAGCGCGCCTCGATCGCGTCTCCTCAACCTTGAAGTGACAACCGAATCCAACTCCATCATCACCTGGCCCCTTTCCGAATCTCATCGCCCAAATACCTCGAGCTAGTCGTCCCTCGTCAGTAAAGCTGAAGCCATACTCGCGCCCGAATAATAATATCAATTCCAACCCCACTTTGAAACCAAAGAAATCAGCTTACCCCTTGAACAAAATCAAATACCGACCCTACAACTTCCCTAACTTTGCACCTCTTCTAAGCCTGTTTTTCAAATCAACAGCGTCTTGGAATACAGAGAAACTTATTGGCAAGCCTCTCAGAATCAACCTCAGCGATGACTTTGATATCAGAGAGTAAGATCACACTCTTGTACTCCAAACTCCGTCTTCCAGAGCTGTCCATAATTCTGCTCCTCTCTCATCAATTTCAAATGCGGAAACTCGGACAATGGCAAAGGAGGTTCCATTGCCGATGACGCAGTTATTTGATTATCATCCGCTTGTCCCAATCTGAGGCACGTCTTTCTCGAGGCAGCTATACAGCTTACAGATGCAACGATAATGGCTTTGACTACAAATTGCAAAGAAATCATATATATCGGAATAACAGGACACGACAGGGGAACCGGGAAGATTACAGAGGAAGCGTTGAAATCGTTGCAGAAAGATAAAAAGAGAGGTACGAGTTTTTTGAAATACTTGAATCTGATTGATCAGCGTGGCGGGTCCAAGTTTACGAAGGCTTGCAAAGCTTTGACGAAATCTAGAAGTATCTTGGCGATAGATGTGGGACGGACGGATGGAGATGGTATTGCGGCCTCGTTTGTTGCGAGTATGACGGGTGGCGAGGATACTTCCATATGGTTTGGGGGGAAGATGGTTCCTGAGAGTACTGGGTATGGTTTCTATTAAAGTCATCAGCCTTAGCCTGTCATTGTAATTTTCTTCTGCGAATGTTCTTCAACTTTTGTTGATACCCATTACGCTTTATTTCTCCGGACGTTGATTGTGCCCCACATCGCATTTTTGCTAGACTAATATAATACATTCTTTGGGTATGTAGTAAAATCCCCTGCATATCACACACTCAATCCAGTCTTTGAGAAGCACTTAGAAAGGATTGCTTACACTCTATCTTTGCAAGCTTGGCCGTTAAATTTCACAACGATACAGGTTTCATAATACGCTCCTTTTATACTCAATCTACTCGATATGCCCTCGCCATTGAGAGAAACCATTGTAAAGTACAAGATAACAAATTGGCTGATGTCGTCCAAATCTCTCATACTCGTCTTCCCGTGTATTCTTCGTAATGTAAGACTACATATCGTCATCGTTCGTCGCGCATTAGGTTGAACTTTTCAAGACATGCGGTTCCATGTTTCGTCGGAACCTTGAGATCGTGGTTATCGTCAACTGTCGTCCGTCCGGTACGTATTCATATCCTCGTCATCGCAAACGCCTCCCAAGATGAGGAAAAACCGAAAGGGGTGTACCCATAATCGAACAGACCCACCACAGCCCAAACCACCTTCACGATCAGAATCTTCCGTACCATCCCACAACTCAATTCTCAAATCCCAACTCTCCATAAAGAAAACTGAGTTTCGAACTCCTTCGCAATGCTCCAACCCCAACCCCCTACCTCTCTCAAGGACTTTTCCCCTTCAGCGCCCGGATCTTCTCCCTAATCCCCACGAGCCATAGATTCAACGCAAGATGCAACTCCTTCATCTCTTCAACAATACCCATAGCCTTGACAAACGTCTCCATCTTCTCCTCGACATCTGCTTGTCCCCCCTTTACGCGTTCCTTCTTTCTATCCGATTTTTTACTCGCACTCCCACCTCGAACTTTTCCCTTACCTCCTCGTTTTAGGTCGTTGTAATTCTCAGAAAGTTCAGAAGGAGAAGCGGGAGTCGTATCATCCTCACCCAACACCAGACCAATGGTACTCAGCAAAGTCTCCAAGTCCTCCTTCATCAGCGAATTTAGCTCCATCCCCAAGATCTCGGCTAGGGAGGCGAGATGCGATTTCATGGTTGTCTTATGGGTCGTCATATGGGTGCTGAATTCGTCCTCTAGTTCTCTCAGGAGTTCGTCCTTCTTGCCGCTGTGAAGTGGAAGTTGCTCTTGGTGGGTAAGAGGGACAGCGAGAATGGGGTCAAGTTGCGACTTCTTGGTTTTGTGGGCTGTGATACCTGGCAGGAGGGTGCTAGCGAGGAGGAGGAAGGGGAGTGGGATGTGCATTTTGATGAGGTGTTGTACAGAGACTCTGAGGCGTATAGACTGGAGACTCTATGGGACGAGAGATGGCGGTTTGGAAGTGGCGACGAGACTCGAGAGAAGATTTTGTGGGCACTGGTATTGACGAGCTCCGGTGTGGTAGCAGCCGCAGTTGTCGAATTGATAGCGACTTTCTCGTGCGATGCTGATCCTTGGACCAGAGAACCACACGTGCTTCTCAGAAGCTTTAAATTGATGTCGTCAAGAATTCGTTGTTGGACCGTAGGACGCACTCCAGCTGGTGAATACAACGAAGCCGATCAATCCGCAGACTCGACAAGATAGTCTTTGCGCAGGAGCAAGGTGAAGTACAAGGACGCTTGAGATGGGCTCGGTAAGGAGAGATGGCGCGCGGTGTTTTGACGGAGTCTCGTGGTAGGGTTGGTGTTGAAGGTAATGTTGCGCAATTGAGCTACACACTACGCAGGTGTATTTTATGCCCAAAGCCAACTTTGCACCGCCTCTGCTTGCTTTGTCATCAGAAGAAACGTCGAATCCAGATTCACTGTCGCGAAGACTTGTTTTTTTGGCTCACCATTCCGTATTCACCTCTAACAGTGATAGCCTCCTTTGTCATTGTCCTATCGCTTCCACTTCCAGAAGTGGCGACAGGGGTCAGCAAAATAGAAGCTTTATGTTCTAAACTTCTTAGAACGATGATGTTACATCTAAATTGAAGGCAGGTTGTAGCGACGCAATTCACAACAAAAGGATTTCAAGACCCCTCCTCGCTTATCCGTAGAACCTTACCTCGATCTGCTCTCGCTAACCTAGGCTCGCGAAAAATCAGTAGCGGACAAAGCTACTTACTTGACTATTACTGTTGTGATTCACTAGGAGAATTCAAACTTTAGCTGGAAGGTTCAATCCATCAAATACAGTCTTTTTGTACAGTCCGAATCAGCTTGAGCGAATCCATCTGGGTTAGTGGCTTGGATCAGACTAGAGGGGCGGAACAAGGGGAGAGTTTCACTATTGATTTTCATGTTCGCTAGGAGGGCACAATTTATGACACAAAGAACCGGGATCAGATTGAAGAAAGTTGAAATTATGCTACACTACAATAAATAAGATTCTTTAAACCAAGATACCGTACGCCATAGAATGCAAAACCACCGCCGCTCCAAAACACCAGGGTATCTCAATATGAAGGAAAATGACCCATCCATTTCCTACTTCCTCTCACATCATTTCCAACTTTCAAAACAACAACCCAATATCCACATCTCTCCACCTTCCCCTCTCAGTATGTCTCCATCGATCCTTCTCCTTCTTGCCAGCCAAACTCACCCTCCCACCCAGATCCAAATTCCAACTTCCCGTACACCCATCCCTCACATTCCCCTCCTCACTCCCATCCAGCAATGCTTCTATTCCCATAAGTGAATCATCACTGCCCTCAAGATCCGGCCTCAGTGTAAAAGAGATCTTGCTTTGAGTTTGTCCCAAGAAGCCACCCAGCGCATGACGTTCGACAAAGGTCCCGTTCTCGTCCCAGGTAATGACGTGGAACTGGGGCTTCAATTTTGCAGCTTCGATGCGTAGTTGTGCCATTCTCCGGGAAAGAGCGAGACTGACACCTTTATCACTGGAGCTATCAGAGGAGGACGAGGAGCAGGAGTCGATGCTTGGGAAAGCAGAGCGATTGGGCGATTTAAGATCCTTGGAACTTGTACTTCCCGAGTAACTGTGACTTGAACCGAAGTGAGATCGTGTTGGGGAGGATAGTACCGGCATGCTTTGAGAGATTGGCAGACCACCTTGTCCTCCTCCTAGGTTGCGGTATTTATCGCCTGGTAGTTCAATTTTGTCGATTGGTCTGCAGAGTTTTTGGAGATGGCCTTCAAAGTCGGTTGGTGCTCGAATGGTTCTTAAAGAGGGAAAGCCGCAGTGGGATATCGATTTCGAGAGGATTTCGGTGACCCTATCCTCGAGTGGAGAGGTAAATTCCCAGTGCATGTATTCAACTGTGGGTGATGCTAGATATGGGTACAGAAATATGTCGACGGGTGATGGGCAAGTTACTTGAGAGATTGTGAAATGTGTGAGATTTTGGATATGTGAGAATATTCGAGCCAAGACAGGAAGAGAGTCTATTGACAGTGAAATTAGGGATAACGATCTCAATTTTTCTTTCCTTGCATGTGACGAGAAATTTGATATTCCTTCGTCGGTGACTCCAGGGAGATTCTCCAGGCGCAAAGATTTTAGAGCGGGCAGTATTTGTAAGGTCTCATCGTTAAAATCCGATGCTGGAAATGACGAGATATGTAGGTTCTCTAGCGAGGGTAGAGAATTGAAAACATCCGTGAATAACGGTGAGCTTAGCCTGCCATCTGGGTTGCAATGCATAACCAATGTTTGAAGGTTCGACCAATTGCTGTGAAAATTGAGAAACTCGATGCACTGGTCTCTCGATAGAGGGTTCGGTACAGATTCCGGACTATTAAAATCCGTCTCTGATATCTTTGATCGTCGATGAGGCTGAGAATGTGAGGAGTTGCCTGATATAATCCACACACGTTCTAGCAACTTCCGCCTCGTCGACAAAGCGTGGACCAACCTAGAGAACTCGTGCTCATAAGCGGTGTGAAAGCCTGGTAGTCGCTCCAGGTTGGGGCATGCCATTATTACCGAAGCAACAAGATCCCTATATTCCTCCTCCTTTCCACCTTTGGCTGCTTCAGGTATGGCTGGAACCTTGAGAGACTTGACATATTCGGCAAGGTCGGGTCGAGCGTGTAAGGTCCTCGAGAGTAACCTAAGCCGTGTGCCATATTTAACCTTGAATTTCTTCTTGATGTGAAAGGTGGAATCGCTGCCAAGCAGTTGTATGTCCTCGTACAAAAGGATCCTCGCAACATTCCACCATTTTCTGCAGCTTGCTCCAACCGCAACGAGATCTCGCATGTAACATGTTGAGCAACTGAGATTTGCTGGACCCAAATGTGAAGCTTTCAATTCCTTTAAGATATGGAACAGTATTTCCTCTGGCAACTTTCTGAATCCCTCTCCGGCAATTCGTGGTTGGTATGACTTTCCAAATGTGATTGTTGTTGGACTGGAAGGCGCCGAACCCGAACTTAGTTTCGGCGGGGTCATCAGTTGTCGTTTCCCCTCGCCATATTTTGGGAATGGGTCATTGAAATAACCTCGAAACTGACCGTTCTGGGCCATCGAACGGTGTAAGTCATCGGTCGAGTTCGAAATGGACGACGCTGGACTGATGGAATCTAGCTCGCGGTCGACAGAGGAGGTGGTACTCAAGGGACTCTTCTGCCTGGACTCGAAACTTGAGCGGGTACTCGTACTAATACTGGAGGAGGATGCAGGCCGGGGTTGCACCAAAGGATCCATACTTGGCGAAAGCCCCCAGGGTAGGAAGGGAGGCGTGGAAGAAAACCCCGACTGGGCGTTTCGAGGAGTGGACGAATATATAGGATAAGAGGAAGCAGACTTGTGTTTGGGTATAAATTGAGTGGTTGGCAGACCAGCGCGAACGGATCGTGTTATGATATCTTGGTCGCTATGTCTACGGCCGGCTCTTGCAGTAGCGGTAGCGGCAGCGGCGGCCCTCACCCTCTGCTGGTCCTCACTGCCGGCGCCGAATTGTTGTTGCAATCTATCGACGGACCAGAAGTCCTGGGGGAATTGGAGCGAAGGCAATCTGAATGTTTGGAGTGGTGGAAAGGGAGAAGGGAGGGGAGAACTGTGGGAGGCCAAGTCAGACCGAGCAGAGCATTCTCATACTGTGCTGTACTGTACTGCACACAGCAAAAACAAAACAGAGTGATGACCGTTCCTCATTCAGAAAATCTGGGGGCAACAGGGGGAAGTAAGACGCCATTTTCAGACGAGCCTGCACGCCTCTCAGACGCCCTGAGGCGGGATGAATGAATATCAGTGGGTGCTGGCATGCCGAGTTGGGTCGAGGTTGGGAGGTCATTGGGCTCAAAAAGGAAGTGGAAATTAAATCAGAAGCGGGTGCAGCTGCAGCTGCAGCGGCTAAGGGGCAAGCACTGATCTGATAGGCAACACCATACGGTACTCGTACACCATACCATGGCTTTGGCCTTAGGACCAGGTGTGGTGTTGTGTGGTGTTGTGTGGTGGTATTGATGGTGGCAGGCATGCTAACAGCACAGCACAGGCGAGACAGGGTGGTAGCACCGTAGTAACACCCGCATCGCATCGCATCGCAGCGCAGCGCCTCGACACGGTACGCTTTGGTGCTATTCTTGGGCACCGAATCTGCCGACGGGAACGGGAAAAAGGGAACGTGAATGGAGAAAGCGAGATGCTTCGTGGATTTGCTATTGCAAGCATCAAACACCATTGCCGAAAGACGGCCTTTGGTATTGTGTGGAGTATGTACTCGGCACAATTTGCTTGAGAATTCCAATTCCAATTCCAATTCGGACACTACTATGTGACCGACCGAAGATCCCTTTGTATGGTAGGTACTCGAGTACTAGTACGGAGATGATATTCAAGCAACGCAAGGGCAGTAAAGTGAGTACTCGTACGGAGAATGACAACCAAAACAACCGAATACCAAACCAAGACACCACACTACACCAACCAAGGGACACGAAACATGAAACACAAAACACTTGCTCGCGTAGAACAGCAGTACCCTTACGTACCTTGAATATGAATTTTCAAAGGCATCTTGATCTACACTGGAACGCCTGGAGGATATCCCACAGCACTCGCCTATGCCCATGCCCATATTTGCCATGATGCCCATATTGTTCGCGCGGGTGATGCTTGGTCGTCGACGAGGACGTCCACCAACCGCATCGAGAGGAGAGAGAAATCGTCGGTTTTGGTAAGCGGGAGGAGTCGATGAACAATCCATCGTATTTGCTGCGGTGGCACTCGACTTTCTTCTACAACCCTGCAGTGCTTCCTCCAAGGCTCTTCCTCTTAAGCCGAAACTGTCTTGTTTCTGATGTCGAGGTTCGTGAAGTCACTTTGAAGTTAGTTATTCCTGCCCAACCTGCACAATTCAGACCAGCCGAAGGGGAAGCGAGCTCGAGGGCGAAGCGACTTTTCTTATTAGGAAGTCGCAGTAGTGAGCATACGAGTACCGTACCCGTGAAAAACAACAAAGAAGGCAAAGAATAGTTGCATCCTTTGATCCGGCAGCTCAGATGACGAGAATTGGTTTCAATCTTCCTCGTTGGCAACGTCGATACTTCTTATATTGATTGCCTTTAGGCGTCATCGCCATGGCCGAGCTCACACCCCGCCAAAAGCCCTGAGCCAGCCCTGATCAGCCCAGCACAGCACATTACAGCACACAACCAATCCCAACCCGACCGACGCACAGTTCACAAAGACCGACGATGAGCATTGGCATTCGTCAGTGACTGGCTTCCCCAGGTGGATGCTTGTATCCCCATCATTCGTCAAGCAGCTGCGTACGAGTACGCTACATGTACTCCGTACACCAGGTAAGCTGGCATCTACAAGTACCTACACTGGAAGTCGACCCCTCTTTTGGCAACTCCTGCCTGTGGTACCACACGAAGGATTCTCTGTCGCCGCTGGAATTGGACACCTCCTGTCATTGCTGCCGCCACGGCTGCACCTGATATACAGCAGCAATGCCTCAAGTCAAGCCTCAAGCTCCCAGTCTCCAGTCTCCAGTCTCCAGTCTCCAATCTCCAGCCTCCAGCCTCCAGCCTCCAGCCTCCAGGCCTACAAGAAGCTTTCAACCCCGCCGCCGCCCAATGCAACGCAGCAAACAAACATCTCGCTACGCATCCAACGAGAACGCGTCAACTCACTCGCTCGGCCATCCGAGTTCCATCTGAGTCAAACGGAGCCAATGTCTATTTACATTGTTGTACCCAGTAACATGATTTATACAATAATGCCACCTTTGGCCTCCTGACGCCATCGACCGGGTGCAGATTTATGCGTTGATTTTAACGAGTCGCGATGCTGGGCTGGTCAATTCACATCACCTTTAGTGGTCGAATAAATTTCCGAAAACAGTCTATCTCTACATCAAGGCTGAGAAGAAGAATAGGCTACAGTTTAGCACGCTCTCAATTCCGCCATGCCTCGACGCCACGAGGAAGCATTTCCAAAAACCTGGGATGATGAATAACCCTCGTACGAATCCGTATCTTCGGGAGCATAGATCCCCGGCTAGCACCACTCATGAGGACGATCTTCCCTCTCTCAGCGTTACTGTGCAAAGCCACAATGCCATAATAGCCTCTCAACTTTACTCATTAGTCCAACATAGGACACACGTGATTCTTACGAAACGTCAATTGGTGGCTTTCCCTGTGCAACTCCAACTTCCAATATTAGATGTCCGCATTTTCCCGATCAAGCATTTTAAGCATTGGCCAGATTTCCATAATAACTTTCTTGATATCAGCCTTATGTGGGAAGTCCCCGAGCGGTAATTTCTATTGGTAAGTTCCGAGGTCTGAAGTTGAAGGTTTACCGTCGTTTTGCTTTTTCCACTACTACTTTTAGTTCAGGACGAGTTAGCCACCCGCAATGGAATCAATAGACGGCTTGAGACATGCAGCTTGCTCCTCTAGGGTTTGCCTTACCGCTACTTATGATATGAGATCATTACATGGGGCTTTTCTTCCATGTCTTTAGCCTCTCGTTCTTGGTGGGGTTACAGAGACCCCAGAGAGGAGGTTCCAAGCTTACTACGATATTTGGTAAGGTCTTGTTGAAATCCTATTTGGTCTTCGGGAACTCATTGGACTGTGAAATTTTCACCGGGCAAGTCTTTCTTAACATTATGCTGTTCTCGTTGTATGAATCGAATTCAAATAGGTTAGTTGAAGAGAGAAACGAGGATGAGTCCGATGTTGCTTGTTGTAGAGATAAAATCATTTGCCATCGATTCCAGGTCTTTGTTTGAACATCTTTATAATACTCGGTATTGATTAGGGAATTGTGGAGGACAGCAAAAGTGATAATGCATAGAACGTGTCTGATTATATCGGGCTTTTTCTCTCTTCTTTTCCTCGGATGGTTAAACAGTACCCAAATTGTTTCGGGAACTTAGAGTGGTGCATGACTTAAGTTCTCGCTATTAATGTCACTGACTTTTCCAAAGTAGCAAAAAGAGATCTGATTACCAGTTTCGATAGCCTGCATCTGATTGATGATAGACATTGAACAAATGGGATTTTGTAACCACTTACCTCAAGTCATTCACCCCATTAACTGAAGAATACCTAATAAACATACATGAAATCAACCTGATCATCCAAAACCTCTCCCCTATCCAATCTCATCTGCAACTTTTTATTATGCACCCAAGCCCCCCAAACAACCCCCATCATGACCGGGAAAGCCAACGCCGTAATCCCCAGTCCCACGCCAAACACCACAGGATACCTCGGAGCCTGCTCCTTAATAAAAACATTCGAGCTCACAAAATTCGCACAATTCCCAATGCCCAGCTGTAAAGCCGTGCCCAGACTTTGATACGCCCGCCCCCTCAGATTCGCGGTGAGCAACCCTATATATGGGCATTTGCACGAAGGTCCCGAACGAGATGAGGAATTGCGCGAAGTAGCGGATGGAGGGGGGCGAGAGATGGAGGTAGTGGATTATCCAGCCGAGCAAGGAGATGAGGATGGCGGGGAGGATGAATGGCCAGCGTTTGTTGGTTCGTCCCGAGAGGAGGGAGGTTAGGAGGCCGCCCACTATGCCGATGATCCAGACAGGGATGGTCATTACTTGGGCTCGGTGGGAGGTCCAGCCTAGTTGTGAGAGAATTGTTGGGTTGAAAGCGGAGAGGGACCCGGCGGACATGTCTGCGCAGAAGAAGAGGAGGGTCCTTTTGGGTGTTAGTTTTGTGTTCGCTTAAGGTAGTCAGGGATGGAAAGGGGTGGGGCGTACATTGACCAGATTCTGGCATCGAACATGATTTTGATCCAGGGGACGTCTTTTGTTGTTGATTTCTCTTCGCCTTTATCTGCTTCGAGACGAGCCAGTAGACGGATTTTATCCTCGGGTTTCAACCACGTATCTCGCCGGAAAATTCGGAGTGAAGATGAAAACCAAAATGCTGAAGACGATAGTGACTAACCCCTCAACGATGAAAATCCATCGCCATCCCGCGTAGCCCCCTACTCCGTCCATTCCTTGGAGTGCATAAGCGAGAAGCTAATTTCTCATCAGCTCAACAAACCTCAATTCCAGCACAAAGAAGAACTACTCACCCCACTAAAACAAGATCACGATTCCCCAAATGCAAGGAAGAGAGCAAATCTCAGCGAAAGCTCTTTCTTCCTGTAGTAAGAAGCAATAAGTAACCCAGCACCAGCGGGTAGTCCCGTTTCCACAATTCCCATCAAGAACCTCACACCGAGAAGACCTTGATAAGAATGCGTCAACCCCTGACACATGGCAAGAATTCCTATCCTCATCAGCTCAAATCTCTCATCCCTCGTCTCAGCTCCTCGCTCCAGATCTTCTGACCACAGAGCAACATACCTAATACCAAACACTGCCCTCCCAACCACAAACTCGACCGTACCCAACTCGCACTCATCACGATATTACTCGGCACCTCCGCCAACACAAAGGGGATATAGAAAATCCATAGGGCAGTGTTGTACCCATTACTGGGCATATTGAGACCAGTTTCTAGACCAGCCAGTTTTGCGTTAGCGATGTTGGTTCGGTCGAGGAAACATATTAGGTAGAGGACACCGAGGATAGGGATTACTTTGAAGTCGATACGGGTTGTGAGTGCTCTATCTAAGGCTGGGGAGGAGTGGAGGGGGGAGACTTGGTTGGTTGAGATGTCTGATGTTGAGGNGATAGGGATTACTTTGAAGTCGATACGGGTTGTGAGTGCTCTATCTAAGGCTGGGGAGGAGTGGAGGGGGGAGACTTGGTTGGTTGAGATGTCTGATGTTGAGGTGTTGGGGAGGTGCTTTTCAGAGGGGAGGGGGGGGTTGGGATCCATGTTTTGTTTTACTTTGCTTTGCCTTCTTTGGAGGGCTTGGTTACTAGAATTGGACTTTTATAAAATCCGAAAGAAATGCGTCACACAAAATGAACTTCTTCGGCAGAGCCGATCAAACCCCAAAAGTATACGGTACCATCGAGACTCTGTTTGGGTGAGCACATGGAATACCACACTCCAAGTTCAACACCTCTGCATCCCACAAGATAAGATATATCAAAAAGGGAAATAAACGAGGCCTCATTCTTATCTCCGCATACAGGTTGCCGGGCTGCGATCTAGATCCAAAGGTGGGGTACATGTCGCGCATGTAGGTGATTTGCCCCAGTCCCAGTGGGAACAGAAAAGTCGATACCTTATCTACTCCTAGTCGATACCTTATCCACACCCGGTCGATACTATATCGACAACTAATAATATTAGTAAATGTTAAAAAATTAAAAAAATCGATATTTCTAAAACTCCTAATTAAGTAGAATACCTAAATAAACACCCTCCTAAGCCTATAAACCTAAAAAGATTATTATATATAATTTTCCTACGCTACCTTACCCCTATAAAATCGCTTCGCTTAGGTACCCGGCCTCCTAGTAGGAGTACTAGGGAGCGCGTATAGATAAGGTATCTATACCTAGTCGATACTTTATCGACAACCGATTATATAAGGGAAGTTTTATTTTTAAAAAAATTAAATTTATAAAAGGTTCTATTAGTTTCTAATAGTCGTCTATTTATCCCTATAGCGTTCTCTATAAGACCTTTTTTTATTAAGTATAGGACGAGTTTTCTCGATTTTACCAAGTACTTTTACCGGTCCGGTAGCTAGGAATAGACTTTAATAAGAGTTTAGGCTTGTAGATCCTACTACGCACGTGCTTCCGAGTACTACCGAGTACTACCTACATATTACTACCCTTCCCCCGCCCTCTCTTTGCCTACCTGTCGTTCCTACTATCCCTACCTAAAAGTGTACTTAGTCGTTTATTTAACTCTCTCCTATCCCTACCTACGAGTATACTTAGTCGTTCCAACTATCCCCACCTGTGAGTATACTTAGTCGTTCCGACTGTCCCTACCTATAAGTGTACTTAGTCGTTCCAACTATCCCCACCTGTGAGTATACTTAGTCGTTCCGACTGTCCCTACCTATAAGTGTACTTAGTCGTTTATTTAACTCTCTCCTATCCCTACCTACGAGTATACTTAGTCGTTCCAACTATCCCTACCTGTGAGTATACTTAGTCGTTCCGACTGTCCCTACCTATAAGTGTACTTAGTCGTTTTTTATCCCTACCTATAACCTCTATATATACTTAATTTAAGTAAGTAATTCGAGCTATAAAAGTATAGAAATAAGTGTAAAAATAAGTGTAGAAATAGTATAGAAATAAGTATAGAAATAAGTATAGAAATAAGTATAGAAATAAGTATAGAAATAAGTATAGAAATAAGTATAGAAATAAAAAGATATAATTTATTAACAACTTTAGACATTTTAGTAACCATTTATCGACAACCGTTTATAAATAAGGTATCGACAAACGGTTGTCGATACCTTATCTACGCCCGCTCCCACTGAGTGCCTAAGCGAGAAAACAACATCAGAGGTTTTTACGACGATTTACGAGGTTATGCATCCCACTTTGTCACACAGATATCGGATCATGTAGCCGTGGATTTCTTTCGTCATTGTTCTCAAGTAAATGTGTCGTAAAGGATAGGAGGGGTAAGGAGGTACTGTTGCACTGAATTGCTCACTCTCGTTTTTGTCCTGAATACATACAACCACGTTAGAAGAAAAAAGGCATTGAAATCACCATTCATTTGTAGAACCAACACCAGAAATATGGTTGGCCTCTTAGCAACCCGCGCCCAGTTCGGTCTTATCCTGCCATCCACAAACACAAGCGTAGAGGCAGAATTCAATCGCATGCTTGTCCCAGGTCATACTTCCCCCGTATCATCACTCACCTCCTCAAACTAACTCTGAATCTAGGCGTATCATGGCACTCCGGCCGAATCTTTGCCCCCAATCCAGACCTATACTCCGGCGTCGCCATGGTAAAATTCCTCGAAGAACTGCGCGTAGAAATGAAGCGCGCCGTCGAATCAGTTCTCCACGCAAAGATCGATTATCTAGTAATGGGCATGTCAGCAGAAACTTTCTGGGGCGGAGCTAATGGAGCCCAAGAATTCGTCTCCTTCATGGCCTCGCTATCAGGCGGGCTAGGAGTAACAACAGGCGCAGCAGCCTGCGGAGCAATCATGAAGACCTACGGCGCAAAGAACATCGGGATCATAACTCCATACCAAGAAGTTGGAGATCAACAGGTCGTCGATTTCTTTACCGAGATTGGATGCGTGGTCAAGGGGATCTACGGTATGAGGTGTGAGAGTGCTACTTCGATATCGGAGGTTACGGGGGAGGAGATTAAGAGCGCTTTTCGGAGTGTGGATGGGGAGGATGTGGAGTTGTTGATTCAGGCGGGCACGAATTTGTTGGCTGGGAAGGCGGCGGCGGAGTTGGAGGTTGAGCTTGGGAAGCCAGTTATTGCTATCAATACTGCGACGGTCTGGCATGCGTATAGGACGAATGGGATCATGGATAAGATTGAAGGTTGGGGATCATTGTTGGAGAAACATTAGTACTGAGATCTTTGAGCTCTTTATTGTTGGTTCCATGGTCTTGAATTCTGGGTGATTTGAACACTCTCTGAATAGGAACCCCACTTGATTCAAGGAGTATATCCCAAGACTCGAGCCGGGTTCAAGTCACTCTATACAGTGATCTCCCGAGAACGGACACGAGATCCCCTTTCTACATACCCCCTTCCCTCTGCCCCATCATATAGCATAACTAAACCCGCTCTCAAACCAACAAACCATGAGTCCCCCCTCCACCACAGGTGCTTTTGCCTTCAAATAAGCCCTAAAACCTTTATGGCCCTCACACTCCACCTCAAAGAACTCCATATCTGCCTTGTCTTTGAAAACATTCTTGGCTACAAAATTGAAGCCTTGGTCGCGGACGTGGCCGTTGGCAGGCCCTGCTTCCATGGAGAGGATATATGGTTTGCCGTCCTGAGAAGAAGCCAATTAGGGAAGAGAGAAGAGAGGGTTGTATGTTTGACGGGGTGGTAGAGGGGAGATGGGTGGATGAAGTTGAAAGGGAAAAAGTACTTTTCGTTGTGTTTCAGCGAAGATTTTGTAGCCTTCTAATGCTTGAGGGATCGAATTTTCAGAGAGGAGTTTGATCATTGTAATTCGTGTGATTGTCATTTTGGTGGACTCAAGATGTTTAGGTAGTGTGTCTTTGTATTTGTACGTGTTTGAGAAGAATATAGGAATGGTGCAGTAAATTCCAACTTGTGGGACTTGAAGTCAAAAATTCAAGTTACGAGAAGTACCAGGTACCATCTGAAAACCCTCAAACGAGAATCCCACCTACCCCACTACTACCACGAGCCGTTGACCAGGGGCACTTAAAATGTAAGCATACTCGTACAAAAGAACCACTGAAGTTGTTGGAAGTGTAGCGAGAAAGGATTGCCTGAAGCCAACCCACTTGTTAGTCTAGAATGATCTACTGAAAGTCCCATTTTAGTTTCTGGAGAGTTCATCAAGCTGTTAATAATGGAATGGTCTAATGGGTCAAGGAACCGTCGCTAGGCTGCAGGCGCTGTAAGCCCAACTCATTGTAGACAAGAAAAGTAGCAGAGGCATCTTTTGTCTTAGCCCAACTTAACTAAAAACTATTCTGTTATGTTATTTATTAATGTTGGTTTGACTCTAAGTCAATAGAGCCGAAAAGATAATAAGGAAAGTATGATATAAGGCTAATAGTTTAGTATTGGGTTGAAAGGGTATTGGGTACTGAAGGTCATGGAGAATTGATTGCATTGTAAAAGGTAGCTATCTAAGGTGTTTATATAAAGAGTGTAAGGTTTAGGCAGACATGAAGCATTTAGGCAGCAGAGCTATAAGTGGATCAAATAAGGAAGTGGAGCAAAAGAGAAAGTAGACCCAGCACAACATTTAGTATCGAAGGTATTATATTATAAAGATTATTAGTTGTGTATACTAAATAAAGGTGTTATAAGTATTACTACTATTATATATTGGTGCTTAGTACTAAGTATAGTACGTAAGTAGCCTTAAGTAGTATTTACTTATACCGATACTAGGCTAACTTTAAAAGACGAAGAAGGCTATACTTAGTAACGTACTAACTAAATAACTAGCTATTCCTAGTTTCTTAAATAACATAAAATAAAACCCTATTTATATAAAAGAAACTTTATAATATCCTTTTAAAGAACTTATTTAATATCTTCCTTCCCTACTTTAATCTCTTTACATTTAACCTACTTTTATATATTAATCTTAATCTTATTAGATTCGATTAATTTAGTAAGTACCTAGTAAGGCTTTAATTTAGTTATTAAATCTATAGGATTAGAATCTCCTTAAATCTATATAATAGTATAAATCTCTTGTTATTCGTATACTTATTAAAGTACTATTACGTTAATTATTAATCGCTTCTCTTTAGTAGTACTAAGTTTAGTTAAATAATTATAGATTAACTTAGAATTAGTATAAATAGTAAGTTTAAACTTATAACCTAGGATAATATCTAAAGTTAACTTAATAACTCCTATTATATTAAAACCTCTACTTAGAATATATAGCTTAGAAGCTAGAATACTTTATATAACTCGTCTATACTTTATAGAACTCTAGTATAAAATTATAGCGTTATTATTTTTATCTACTAAGTATAAAATATATCTAATCTAGGAAGATAGGTCTATTAGGTTTATAAATAAGGCGTTAATAAATAGAATAAGTTAGAGCGAATTATAGTCTAGAGGGATATGTTTAAGTCCTCTCTTTAGATTATTAATTAACTATTAAATTCGCTTATTTAGTACTTAAATTTCTCTTTTTTTATAATTTATTAATTACGTAGTAACGTTTAGATTAAATATAGCCTCTAGTTAATAAACTATTACTATATATACGCTAAGTACTTACTAGGTAATATATTAATCCTTTATAAAATAATCCTTTTAAACTAATCCTCTTATACTTATAAGATTAATTAGCTTATTTTTAATAAGCTTAATATAAAAAGTATAGTTATAGGTAAGTATAATTAAACTTTCTTTATCTAAAGTAATATTTATACTATTAAATTTAAGGGTTTTTTTAATGGTTAATTACTTAATTAGTTTTAACTTAAATACTTTAGATTTTTCTTATTCCTTATTTATAGATATAATATTACTAAGTATAAGAGTATTACTAGTTTATAATCTAACTGTCTTAAATATTCTCTTATAATTTATATATAATAAGTAAGAGTTATATATAAATTACTTTATATATAGTATTTTTATATAAGTTAGTATTTAAGATAAGTATTATATTAGTAGTTACCTAGCTCTAGAATACTATATAATAGCCTTAAGATCTTAAAGTATATATTCTTTTATTTTAGTAATCTTTTTAGTCTTTATATAAAGAATAGTTAATTAAGTATAGTTTTTACTTAAGTATATACTTAAACTATATTATAAGGCTATAGCCTTAAAGGTTTATTCTTAGTATATAATAGAATTACTATAAGAGTAATAATTAATCTAATACTAATATATTAAATTATTAGAGATTAAGTTAAAACTATCTTCTTCTTATTACTATTAAAAGCTTCAATAACTAGTCTAGACTTCTTAAATATAGTAAAAGTTCCCTTATTTTTAATAGTATTAATAAATCTAGAACTAGATATATAAGTGTTTTTTAGTAGATTATTAAAAGAAGTAATTCTATATATTCTATTTTTATTGATTTATTTATTTTCATTTTATAAAGGTTATTAAAAGTAATATAAATAATACTATTATTTATAAGATATAAGTAAGATATATTACTATCCTCTAAGTTCTAAGTTAAGATTACTTTAAGGTGATAAATTATAGTATACTTTTATAGGTAACTATAACTATAATTTAGCTAGGTTTAACCCTTAGGTAATACTATTTATTTATTAGTTATAATTAGTATATCTTTAGTATCTAAATAAGTTATAACATTAGTTAGTTTGATATTAAGTAGTAGATTAAGTAAGTTAGATACGTTCTTATTAAAGTAATAAGGTTTAATACTTATACTTTAAAACTTAACTAATCGATTATTAATCTTAGTAGTAATATCTTTACCTTCTTATCTTTATAATATATATAGTTCGTACTACTTCTTGTTTTTATACTATACCTAGATCTCTAATCCTAGTAGTAAATCCTTAATTTTATTTAAAGGTTTATTTTATATATTATAAAGATATCTTAAACTTAGCGTTTAGCTTTAATCTTATATACTTCTATTATAGCCTTTTAAAGTATAACAGATTACTAAGTAACTATAGTCGAATAGGTTTTATAATTAGTTATCTTTAAATATATACTAAATATAAGTAGGGTTAGTATTAAGCTATTAGGTCCTATAGTATTATTAATAGCTTTTACTACTATTTAAAGTATAAAATCTTGATATAAGTTTAAAAGCTCTTTATAAATAATTAAGTAGGCGTAGTAGATTAGCTTATAGTAATATTTAACTAATCTAATTAAATTATATACTTCTACTAGTATAGTAGTAATCTAAATACTAAGTATACTTATATATAACTTAAACTCCTTAAACGTAAAGTTCTTTCCTATATTAGTTATAAGTATATCTATTAGCTTTATAAATGTATAAATCTAGTACTTTCTAACTATATCTTAGATATATTTAGCTAAAAGGTTTCAAAGCTAATAAGTAATATTCTAATTAGTAGCTTTATTAATTATATAAAGTATATATTTCTCTAAAATGAAGAATATATCTATATAAACTATATAGTTAAAGTCTTTATTATCTTTAAGCGTAAAGCGGAATTTATATAGTAAGGCGCTATACTTTTAGTAGTAATTATAATACTTAGCTAGCTTCTTAAGAATATATATAAGTCTACTTTATATCTAACTCGTTCTATAACTTTCTATAGTCTCTAGATAGATAGGTAGCTAAATCGCTTATAGAGTCGATATAATTTAGTCTTAGTTAGAGAGGTTAAGAATTACTATATAAAGTTATATAAAGCTTATCCCTATACTATAAAAGGGTATCCGAATTATTAAATAATAGTTATATAAGACTTATCTATACGTCGAATTATATTCTTAAGATTAAGAAAAGTAGCTTTATAGTAATCTAACTTCTAAAGATATATAATAAATAGAAGTTTAATCTTAAATATATAAAAGTCTATTAATCTAAGTAGTATATTAATGGTTATATAACCCTTAGTAATAGATACGCTAATACTAAATTTAATACTTACAATACTTAGTTATAGTAGCGAAGTATAAATAGCTTTATATACTATATATTAATTCTATCCTACTAAGTTAAAAGTAGTAGTACCTATATTAATTATAATACTATAAAAGTACTCTAGACCCTAGCGCTTATTTAATATTAGAGCTCTTATAGTAGTAATAGCCGAAAGTATACTAGTCTTATCTACGTCTTAGCTACTAATAAATAGCTTATTATTAGCCTAAAATCTAATCTAGTATATATAAGATATATTATTATACTAGGTAACTAGTTAATAAGTACTATTATTATTTAATAATTCTAAAGTAATTAGCTCTATAGTATAATAATAGCTAATATAGCTCTTTTCTAGCTTATTAGTATCTAAATTAGAGTTAGGGATAGAACTTTTAGTTTTAAAGTTAGAATTACTTTTATAATCTATAATAAATATATAATATATTTTATTTGAATCTACTTTATTAAAATTACCCTTATATAACTTCTTATATCTACGCTACTACTTCTTATATTATTCCTATTCTTTAACCGAATACTTATTTATATAGTAATTTAAGTTCTTATAAATATAGTATTATCTAACGTAGCCTTAGTAATTATTATAGTTCTTATAAAAGTATTAATTATTTTATCTATAGTATTTTTAGTTTATATAGTATATATATAAGTAAGTTTATAGTAGTTAAGATAAAGTTAATAGGAAAGAAGTAGTATAATCTACTAGTCTTATAGTATAAGTTCTTTTAAGTTTACCTTTATTTCTATATACTATTCCTTTAATAAACTTATATTATAAGATTAATAACTTTATAGAAGTAATAAGCTTACTAACTATATTTAGTAAGTAAATAATAATATTAATATACTCTAGAATTCTATAATAATAGTAAATAATAGTCTTATAAAAGTACTTACTACTTTATAGATTATCTAGAAGACTAGTATAAAGATCTTACAACTTAGTAAGTATTATATTAAAATAAGTAGTAAGAGATTTATTAGAGTACTTATTCTTAAGGTAATTAAGTATATATTTATTCTACTTATCTTAACGTGGTTTATCAGCGAGTCGATCATATCACCGAGTCGATCACTTTTTCTTGGCACAGAACTTTACACCTAAATAAATCAACCACAATATATTAAATTAATTATCGCTCTCTATATCTGACGAACTAGATATATCTATAACTTCTTGACAAGTTCGCGCGTTATGACCAGCTTTTCCACAAGTTCTACAGCGCCGCCTAGAAGGTTGCCCCTCCTTATAACCAACCCCCGCCTCACGCATGTCGCGTCGTACTTGCTCATCTACATCCTCCTGAGCTAACATATCCTGTACATCCTCTACTATAAGTGCCCCTCCTTGGCGGACACGAGTCTTTTTAGCCCTACGGCGTTTACTTAGGGCTTCATTTGCAGCGCGAAGGGTACGGACCTCAGCAGACAAAAGGGTCATCTCATGTGCCATTCGCTCTGTACCCTTTGCTAACGCAGCAACTGTTTGAAAAAGTGGAGTTGGCGAGCTTCCTTGATGACAGGCTATACGATTTCGTACAAGAGTTGATTGTGAAAGGGCTTCAGTTGGGTTGGAAGGGGTCTGGGACACCCAGGGGAGGGAGTTGGCACTACACGTCCGAGGGGGAGTTGGAGTCCGTAACCTTACGTCAAGCTTTGAAAGCACTGCTTGCGGGTTAAATGGTACTAGGCCAGCTCCGCGGAATCCAGACTGACAGTTTAGGACTGTCATTGTTTCCTTGTATGCTGCTGTAAAGGCTAGAAAGAACTCAACCTTTGTAATATGGTTGATATGGGCCTTGATAAACGTCTCAATCTGCCGACCATACGCTCGTTTTAACACACTATAGCACCCAACATCAAGTGGCTGGGTTAGATGGGATGAATGAGGAGGTAGTCCAAGAGTAATAATGTTGTGTTTCGTACAGTAGTCTTGGAACTCAGCCGATTCATGACTCTCGTGCCCATCCAAAACTAGTATTCGATACAGACCCTTTGCACGAGCTGTAGTGTGTTTATCAAAGTGCTTTAACCATTCCAGGCCTGTTTCATTATTTGTCCAACCATTGCTTGTCGGTTTCATAACCCAGTTAGGTGGGAGGCCGCCGTCGGTATACCAGTTGGAGAGATGGTTCTTGCCCTGAACTACCAAGAATGGAGGAATACTCCAGCCCTCCCCATTAATACAGGCAATTGCTGTAGCCCATTCCCGATTGCCTGGCTGAACTGCCTTGCCTCTACCACGTCGGTCTGCACGAGTAACAACCATTCTAGGACAAATAACACCCATCATAAAGCCTGTCTCGTCGAAGTTGTAGAAGTCGGAGTCTGTAACCCCATATTTCGCCCTCATATTCTCTACTAGCCGGAACCATGCGCCTAGCACGTCAGGATCTTCGCATAAGGCCCTCTGGAAGTCGTAAACGCGATTAAAACGCGTCTTAAGGTCTGGTTGTCGTTGTACGAATCGATGGGCCCAGAGCTTGCCGACGCGTCTTCCCCCCCGCGATTCAAGGATAAAATTAGCCATATCTTCTACACCAGCGAGCCGGGGCGCAAATCCTCTGGAATCCATATCCAGTATATACCGAATAATCACTTCCTCTTCTAACTCAGTCAACTTATGACAATTGGCTTGAGAATCTGGGCGGTAGGTTCGGCCAGCCATTCTGTCGGAAAGAGTCGTATATGGTACATTGTAGATCTTTGCCGCAGAGCGTTTGCTTAGTTTTTTGGACGACCGAATAGCCTTGATAGCTAGAGTAATTCGCGCTTCTTGAGTTTGAATTTCCATGGTAAATAGTTGAAGAAAACGTGTGTTGAAGTTTGAGGAGGTAGTGCCAAGGAAAAGTGATCGACTCGCTGATATGATCGACTCGCTGATAAACCACGTTATATACTAAACGTAGTATTACTATTTAGTATTTACTATTATATTACCCTTAGTTTAATCTAATTAAAGATATATTTAAGAACCTTAAAACCTTAATTTATTATTACTATAAATATAAAGAATTATTCTATAATAGATTTAAAGGTTTTTTAAAGAATTAGATATAAAAGATAGAATAAAAAGAGAATATAAGATAAAGAGCTTAAAGCTACTTTAAAAATTACTTTTATAAAGTTAATTAAATAATAATTTATATAAGCCTCTAGATTCTATATCATTCTAAGAAACCTAGTATTATTTACTTAGTATTTCTATAAACTTTCTAAGATATATAATTATTCTATAGATTATTATAAGTATTAAATTCTTAGGGTCTATTTAGATTAGATTATTTTAGCGATTATTCGTATAATTATAAAAATAATCGCGAATCTAAATATAAGGCCGTATGATTTACTTAAAATATAATCGTAATGTAATCGTAATATAAAAAAAAGCTCGTTTTTAGTACTATTTTTAGCGATTATTTTTATATTTACGTATAAAGTATAAACACTTCTACTAATAATTCAACTACTATACCTATACTTTACTTTATAATAATACTACTCCTATTACTCCTACTACTCCTATGTAACGAATACTCAAACTGGCTAACTAAACTTGGCTGGGTGTTCGCTGGTTGGTATGCTATGATAAGAAGAAGACTATCGGGTTGTTCACTTGGAAGTGAACTCGTTACTTGTATCAAAGATGTCAAACTAATATGATAAGATTGATAACTAAGTTGAGCACGAAGCTCCTATCTAATGGCAGACGTGCCAGTCTTATATAGAACCTTCGTGTTCCTGAAGTCGACAATGTCGACTGTCGACATAGTCGATAATCGACTTCTCGTCTTGTCGAGAAGTCGACCTGTATATATCACGTGACTTGTATACAAAGAAATTCCTGGATCGCTTAACTAACCTAAGCGATCCCTTTTTGCTATAAGAGCCATGATTTGTGTCCTGTCAGAACCCCGTCTGGACTAACTCCTCACGTGCTAGCACGTGATTTGTGACAATTTAATAGTAGATTATTAAATAACTTTAATTTAAGAGGCTATAATTACTTTAAACTTTAAGTAATATAGATAGAATATCTATCTTTTAGTAGTAGTTTAGGAATTAACGATTTTATAAGATTTCGCTAGCATTTTTTTTTTAGTAGTTAGGCTACTAAAAAAGCACGGATTACAGAAAATCCCGAAAAATTAAGCTTAATTCGCAACTAACTGTAGTATAGGCCTTTATCGAGGTGATTTGGCACGGAGAGAGTATAAAAATGCGCAAGTCATTACTTCCTACAACCTCGTACCCTAATGCTGCTACTGTCGCCGATTATCCGGAGGTTTTGTATCCGCAGCCTGCATTGACGCCGGAAAGTTAGCCAGACTCACAGCGCTTGGAAGTGAGGCTAGCAGTATGAGAGTGAATTAAAGCCATATCCTAATGATTTAATCAGAGGTATATCCGAATTATATATTTGAGATGACAAGAGACTCCATGAGGAGGGGACATAATTCAGACGAGGCGTGTGGGGAGTGTTGAAGTGATATCAGGAAGAATCTCCTGTGAGGGGTTATTTGGTTTACTCCAGATGAGATTGGGGCGAGAGAGCGTCGTAGTCTTTTGAGGATCTTGCTCGCAGATCCAGCTCACAGCTCCATGTCCATAGTGCTCCGCGTGAGCCTGGTTGACTGCGAACCCGCTAGCTTATAAAGTGAAGATGCAGGTTGCTGCTCTATTTAGCTTGGCCAGTGAGTGAGAATTCACTGATGGGAATGAAGGAGGATGTGGACTTTGGGCCTTTGCTGAAGTCTTGATTATGAGAGTGAATTGGGAGATGGTAGAATGGGTGAATCAGATCCAAGAGATGCTATGGTAAGACTAGCAGAAGAATAGCATATTTTGTATAACTGTGGTTTCCCGAGAATGTTTAATTCTTACTTGAACATTCAATTTCTTCCCAACTTCCGAGGCCTCAAGGGAGTTGAATAAAAATTTCTTTTTTTAATCCAGTAAACAGAAATAATAAAATGATACCAATTCAATTGAAAAAAATCCGGTTCAAATTTCTGGAGTGGAGATATCGATGATGTGGGTGCAGGCATCATCAGCAGCGGCTTCGCGAGGCTGATGATTCCAGACTCGATTGGGCACCTCAGAAAGCTGCAACCTTCTCCAAAGCACGACTGGAATTGCGTGCACACCGAACCGCCCAAATGGGGAAAGCAAAAGAACCAAGCCGGCTGCTGGTATGGATTGATTGCGAGGTATGAAGACCAAACTTGGTGGTTTGCCCGCAACGCAGCTTTGCGCCACCAGCACCGATGAAGAAACTAATCTCTGGCCCTCCAACAATAGATGACGGGTCTGGACATAGAGAACGATGTGATCATCGAAATCTTCTGCATTATTACCAATGGCAACCTGGATGTGCTGGATGAGGAGGGGTGGGGAGCAGTCATTCATCAACCAAAAGAGAGAATGGACCAGATGGTCAGTCTATCCATACCCCTATCCATACCCCTTGAGCCCCTCATAGCAAGCTGGAGCTGTGTGTGATCTGAGCTCCTATTGACATGGTCTGCCACAGGACGAATGGTGCACCAAGACTCATCGTGATTCCGGGCTCACGGCAGCGGTTCTTTCGTCGACCACCACGCCCGAACAAGCTTCTGCCTCGCTCCTTGGCTATATCAAGAAATACATCAAATCTCCACGAACGGCCTTGCTCGCAGGGAACAGCGTCCACGCAGACAAAGCATTTCTCCGAAGGGGGGCATACAAACAAGTCCACGACTACCTCAGCTATCGGATATTGGATGTGAGTACGATCAAAGAGGCAGCTCTTCGCTGGTGTGATGCGGAAGTGGTCGAGGGGAGACCGGCCAAAAAGCTGCTGCACAAGGCCAAGAACGACATTCTCGAGAGCATTGAAGAAGCCCGATATTATAAAGAGGTGATATTCCAAAAGAAATCCGAGACCTGAGACACGAGGAAATAAAAAAAACAATTTACCCAAAAGGGAAACCGCATTTATTGACATAATTTGGTGGCGTGGCGTGGTTCAATGTTATCAACAGATGATTGGTTGAAGCTGCCCAACCCGACCCCTCCAAAATAAGTTCCAGTTGTGACGAAGTTGATGCAGCGCCCCACGTTTACCATTGACACCGCCAACACTCTCCTCTTCTCCAGCTTCAACTCCACATCCAGACACGTTTCTGAATTTTTCTCAATTGTCTCTTGAATTCTTTGCAAACATGAGTGTCACCGAAGTTTCTCTCAAACCATTCACCGACCAGAAGCCAGGAACGTTAGTTACAACCCCGCTATTTCTATTTGCGCCCCCTTTAGTTGCTAACCAGCATCAAGCTCTGGTCTGCGAAAGAAGGTCGTCGTCTTTCAACAACCTCACTACAGCGAAGCTTTCGTCACCAGTATCCTTCTTGCCATTCCAGAAGGTGTCAAGGACAGTTTCCTTGTCATTGGTGGTGATGGGCGATACTGGAACCCGGAGGTCGTACAATTGATCGCTAAAATTGGAGCTGCATATGGCGTAAAGAAGCTTCTGATCGGTCAGAATGGTATCTTGAGTACTCCTGCTGCCAGTCATGTCATCCGAAAGCGAAAGGCTACCGGTGGTATCCTTTTAACTGCCAGTCACAATGCTGGAGGTCAGTTACAATCTGCCTATTACACCATACTCCTCTAACTTTGAATTGTAGGACCAAAGAACGATTTCGGAATTAAATACAACCTTGCCAACGGTGGTCCAGCTCCCGAATCTGTCACGAACAAAATCTACGAGATCTCCAAGACCTTGACCTCCTACAAAATCGCAGATATCCCAGATATCGACATTTCCACAATTGGCACAAACACATGTGGCTCTTTGGAGGTGGAGGTTATTGATTCGGTCTCGGATTACCTCGAGATGTTGAAGGATATCTTTGATTTCCCTCTCATCAAGAAATTCTTCCAAAACCACACCGATTTCAAAGTTTTGTTCGATGCTCTTTCTGGTGTTACTGGCCCATACGGAACTGCTATTTTCGAGAAGGAATTTGGTCTTCCAAGTTCCAGCACACAAAACTGCGTTCCTTCCCCAGATTTCAACGGTGGTCACCCAGATCCTAACCTTACATACGCACACTCCTTAGTCGAGGCTGTTGATAAGGGAAATATCCATTTCGGAGCTGCTAGTGACGGAGATGGAGACCGTAACATGATTTACGGTGCCAATGCTTTCGTTTCTCCTGGAGACAGTTTGGCAATTATCGCCCACCACGCACAGCTTATTCCTTACTTCAAGAAGCAGGGTGTTTACGGTCTTGCACGTAGTATGCCAACCTCTGGTGCTGTAGACCTTGTTGCCAAAGCCCAAGGTCTGAACTGCTATGAGGTCCCAACTGGATGGAAGTTCTTCTGCGCACTATTCGACGCTGACAAACTCTCCATCTGTGGTGAGGAGTCTTTCGGTACTGGTAGCAACCACATTCGTGAGAAGGATGGTCTATGGGCTGTCGTTGCTTGGTTGAACATTATTGCTGGTATTGGTGAGGCCAACCCAGATGTTCTTCCAAGTATTTCCAAGATTCAGCATGATTTCTGGACCGAGTATGGACGTACATTCTTCACCAGATACGATTACGAAGATGTCAGCAGTGAGGGCGCTGCTAAGCTTGTCAAGGGCTTGAATGACAAGATTGCTGATTCATCATTCATTGGTTCAACCATTGGAGGTTTGTTTACTTCCTACAATCCCTTTTAATTTTACTAACACACTCTAGACCGAACCGTCAAAGAGGCAGGAGACTTCTCCTACACCGACCTCGACGGAAGCGTATCTTCCAACCAAGGTCTCTACGTCAAATTCTCCGACGGATCTCGTATCGTTGTTCGTCTCTCTGGAACTGGCAGTTCTGGTGCTACTATCCGTTTGTATATCGAGAAGCATTCTAGTGATGCTAGTACCTACGGACTGGATGCTCAGGACTTCCTCAAGAAGGATGTAGCGTTCTCGACTGAGCTTTTGAAGTTCCAGGAGCATATTGGACGTACTGAGCCCGATGTTAAGACATAAAGGGTAGATGTAAGGGATTGGGTTTTTTGGAGGGATAGGTAGATGAGCTATGATTGATGAGGGATGAAGTGTTTATAACTTGGGCACGTGAAAAAATATAAGAAGATACGAGTTTTATCAAGCGGATTGATGGATTTATGACCAAATTGTGATTTTAGTAGCAGCAAGATAAACATGTCTGGTATACTCCCCCCCCTCCTCTCTCTCTCTCTCTCTCTCTCTCTCTCTCCCTCTCCTCGTGTGAATCTCTCCATCTCCTATATCCTTAAATTACGTACACACCTTGTGACCGCGCCTCCATTTCCTATACAACTCTACACAGAGTTGAAGTTACAATAACTCCTAAGGCAGAACAAAAGTACAAAAGGGAAATAGTATCCTGGATGGCTCGCCATCTTTGTACAAATTCTAGTTAAGGAGTTTTTCCTATGAAAAAAGTTAGTATAATTATAACGATTTGAAAATAAGAAACCTACCAGATCGGATCTTGTTTCTTCGGTAATATTTATAGCTAGAAACTTCTAATTAGCTATAATACGTCTATTTTATTATTAGTGGTAGTATATCTCCCCTCTTTATATAGTTAGGTTACTTCTCTAGGGTATATATAACCTTAGTTTAAAATATTCTCCTTATACTCCTCCTATAAATTATACCCTTATTTAAGCCTTTATAAGTTATTCTTTTAGTAGGTAATTATAATAAGAATTAAATAGGTATTCTTTAGTTCTTTTACCTATTACGTTCTACGTTTTAAGAAAATTATAATACAACGATAACGTATAAGACCCTAAAACGCAATATGTTCATTGAGAATGAAGGGGAAACTTGGTCTGGAACATTCCTTTTGGAATGGAATTCCATAATTCCCTGGAATCGAGTTCCATTTGCCGATCGTTGCTTTCTTAAGAACAGAGCAGCAGTCCAGGAGTCGGAATTATTTTCATTGCAGGAAAATTACGGAAAATGGGGGAGAAGTGCTGTCGAATTCTGTTGTGCTGTCGGGTTTTTATCGTTCGGTTGGTTCTATTATCTCGTCTCGGTTCTAAGAGAGGTTCATCGATGGATACCTCGATGAGTGGGCGTCGATATTTGAGATAGTTAGTGATGGACGATTAGAAAGCGATTAGAGCCAGGCAAGCGATAATCTGAGCGCCCAAGAAGTGCTTCGGCTATAATGCTGGCGTAATTGTTTCAAGCGACCTGTATATATCTTGATACACAGACCGATGAGTTAAACAGCTATGAGGGTATTTGGGTGTTAATCCCGTTCACTTAATTAATGAATTGATGATTAGAGGTACTTCTACTATTTAGAACGAGATTCACTCTTATCTAGGGATATCCTGATAACACAAGAGTAAATCTCAAGGTTATGCTGATTGCCGATACATAAGAAAGCTTTTCGATTTTCAAGAGGAATCCAAGATAACAACAGAGAATATACATAAAGCATTTGCTAGCAATTCACGGGTTGTTCTCCAAGCCCAATACATTATAGAAGAAAGGGGCAATAGAGCTGAAGCCAAAAATCCTATAATGTTACCAAGAAAAGGTATTTGTTCTCAGAGACACTAACCCTTTTATTAGTAGCTAAAGAACGTTATATCTACACTGAACGAATACGCAGCAGTATAGAATAGCTGTTAGTGGAAGTTTTCTTGCCTTCTTCTAGTATTTCTCTCTTGTTCTTCCCACTCATAACATTTATAAGAGCTCAACATTATTGCCAAATCCCATTTTTACTTCGCGCCTACCTAAAACCACGGCCAGTATACAGGCACAGAGACACAGAAGCGGCTAGCTAGGAGACACGATCCAAGCCACTCCAAATGAAATCATCGTATTCCGTAACCTATAACCTCGGTGAGGTTGAAAAGTAGGCCTTGGATACAGAGGATCTTGATTCGATCACTTTTATTGTTGGGGTAGGACCATGAGAGGATGTCATCCGAATTTTTATTTAGGAACCACGTGGGGATTGGCGCGCGCCGAAGGAGCAAATTGGATGAGGAAGGCACCTAGACTGGCCGCGCATCAGAATTGGATTCTTTAATAATTACGAAGTGCAATAGAAAAAGCGATAATATAATCATACCATGTCTTTCAACTCAGATACTGGATCTGGGGAAGGTGAAAGTATGAGGGGTTCTAGAACGTCGGAAATTGAAAGAGCAGAGTACGGCGCTTAGAGCTCATGTTATCATGGGTTAAATCAAATGTGCGAAAATCAAACTAAATTCAGAATCGCGAGAACCCAAGAAAACGATAAAGCTGTATTTGAGGAAAGAATAGTGGAGAGAGCTCACACCCATATTGCTCAACTCAAATCAAACAGATACCTGGGGCCCACTAGACCTTCCCTTTGCGACAAAAACCTCGGTCGCATAACAGAATAGACGCTCGTCAAGACAATTTCATTCAAAAAGCAAATTAAGAAAAATTCGATACAAAAAGTGGCACAAGACATAAAATCAAACACCAAATTATTCATTTCGGAACGATAGTACAGTACAGCATGAAGTAAGTATTTTCAGGAAGGTTCGAAGTTATACGGCATCACGAGAATGGAGAAAGCCGGGCGCTTGAATTGGTCGAAGTAGGCGCTTCAGTGGATCATCGTGCTAATTTCAACACCTAAAATGGAGTTGGGCGCTTCAAGATGAGCGTTCGCCCCACCTGGAACAGCAGTTTGTGAGTATCGCATGAGTACACCTCCTTCGGTGTAGTTTTAGATTCTAGAAACGAGCTCTTTTGAAGTGAGGAGAGAAAGAGGGTCCAACTGGCCTAGCAAGAGGTCTCTTTGCACTGCCACAGTTTCACGTTAGGTACACGGCGGTCCGATTTTTGAGAGATGAGGCCGGTCACGTGTTTTTGTTTGGACCACGTGAGTTGATTTGATGGTTGAAAACATTTTCGTGTCCAGACAGAAACATAATCGATGAGATAGAACGAGGAAGCCCGTAATTCGTAATTCGTCTCTCAGAAGCGAGATAATTGGTGAGGGAAAAACAATAATGCCCGAGAATACCTCCGTCTGACAATCGGGACTCACCGACTGCCATCCGGACAAATGGAATTCTCTTACCTGCATCTGGCTTGCAGCAATGAGCGATTTCTGATGAGGAGCTATCCAGACCGTTCTTTCGAAAAGCTCTTCGTTTTCATCTCATGAAGCTTTTCATGACGTCTCTTCCCGTCTTTTCATGATGAAAGTGGAGAGCTACAGCTACGAATGAGTCACAGTCAGATGATGAAACAGAAGATCTTGAAACTTTTGGACAACTGGGACCAGTAAAATCGGATCAAGACGAACGATGACTCCTTCGATACGATCTTGTGGAGGAGAAGCTTGTCGTTTTTTCTTCCCCATATGCAGCGCGTGAGATCCCGAGCCGGGGGAAGCGAGGATGAGGGCGTGTTGGAGTGACGAATCAGAGCTCTGAAGAGGGGTCTCGCTTAACACGAGCTAAACACGAAATAAACGCCCAACGACTTCTCGCACAACATAGGACGAAGTGATATCCCCACCATGATTATACAACACTGCACTGCCTCCCTCGCTTGGCTAGAGAGATTGCTTACATACGCACACCTTACCGGCGCTTCAAGGTCGGCAAAACGAGATTGCAGCGTTTAAAGGTACGCGCCGTGTTGGTTTCCGGTTGGTCCCGTTGAAGATTGAGACGGACGAGAATAGCTGCGGCTCTGGGGGTTGGGATAGCCGCCAGAGTGGTCGCTAATCGTCATGAGATGCCAAAAATACTCTTCTCCAACATCACACACGCCAAATGTTCGGAGGAGGTAGGCCTCGGCCAAGCGACACCGATAAGGTATGTAGGTGAGAAGGTAAAATCCGATGTGAAGAGGAAATATAGTAATACGCGCTTTGGTGTTCGGCACTCGTGGCTGCGATTTTGTGCGAGTTTAGCCATAGCAACGCGGGGCGTTAGGTCACGAACACGACATCTACTATTTCTCGTGGTTGTCGTGGTGTTGTTGTACGGGTACCACGGTACACGCCTTATGGAGAACACCCCACTATTGGGAGCATCAACATTGGCGCGTCCAGACGCTCTGCATATTCCCTGGTATTTCTTCCATGTCTGATAGTGGATAGTGGAGAAATATATGTAGCTAAATATGACTCACTGACGCTGCATTAGAGGTGCATATGGAGTTACATGGTATCAAGTCTGTACTTGGGTTTTCGCTTGTCGCTCTAACCCAAAGCAGCCGACCTACTGCCAGCGGTTGCCCTCAAACGAACCATTCGGCCTGTTGGCCTCGACCAAGAAACTGCTTCGGACTGTCGTTACTGTACTGGACCCAGACAAAAATTAATTCTCCGCGTTTCAAGTCAACTTAGACGGTGCGACCCATCCTAGACCCATGATGTGCATCTGAGGATTGGGCTGTGTTGTCCGATAATCCTCAAGTGAGGATAAGTATCACTTCATTCCTCCTCCATCTGCTGGTTTTTATTCATTCAATCAGTATCTTCGGTGTCCACTATTAGACCTTCCTCTTGCAACGAATCTCCTTCTCTCTTCCATTTGTCAATCAAAATACTTTTGGAGCCGGTCTCCTCTCCAATCTAATTATTGGTGTCTAATCGACACCTAGCCATCTCATATACGTCCACATTTTTATACGCGTAAGTTATTTTATTTTTGCCTGATTTGGCCAATGATTGACATCGTCTCAGTCCGGAAGTAAACAAAATGTCCCTTGATTACTCCTTCTCCTTTGGAGAAAACTCCACCACGTTTTCATTCGAAGATGCATTGAATGATACTTCCTTCATGATGGGAAGCAACAGATCCATGGGACATAGCCGGTCTAGTTCTCACGCTTCTGCTTCAATGTACTCTCAAGAATCATCTCCAGAACCACTCAACACCGGAATGACCACTCCAGCAAGATCTCCAATCAGACAGCACGGCCCACTTTTGCTGCCAAAGATCCGTCCACAAGATCAAGAGATTCATGCTTCTCCACCTCCACCAAAAAGGTTCAAGAGAGCTCCAACTCACACTTCAACAACCACTTTCAAGCCGCAACACACCAGGAGTTACACCAACCCAGAATCTGTTAGCTTCATGCCACAGGTTCAAGACAACTTCCCATCTCACACTCGTTCGATGTCAACATTATGCTCCCCAGTTCCCTTTGCTCCATCACACGAAAGAAGATCCTCCAGCGTAAGCCTTGATGGCCAGACCTTGGAAAAATATGGCTTCCCAACATATCGACAAATGCCTTCATATATACCCTCGGCAACTAATTCACAAACCGATAACTACATATCTCAATCCTTTTACCAAACGCATACCCCCCAGCGAACACCATCGCCCCTTCAGAACAGTCTCTGCGCCGAGGAAATTACAATGAGTCCCATCGATGATGGAAACAACACATCTCTCTCCGCCTACCTTACATCTCCCAACCCTGCTCCAGCACTCGTCCGTCAAATCAACATCCACATTCGTGATAGCTCTGCAAAACACTTCTGGTGGGACATTCGCCAAATCAGACCTTGGACATCCTTCAATCCAACAACCATAAACAACATCCCGGGACTTTCAGCACTCCTCAACATTAACTTGCCAACATCAACATTCCCAATTCCAGCTCGCACCTCCAGCACGCCAGAATCAGAATCAGATCTTCAAAACATCTACACATCTTTCTACGGAACAAAACTGAATGCTGCTCTCTCACTCTCTCTCGGACAGAGACATTTAATGATGCGAGCTTCGAAGAATACATGTGATCCATCTTTCATTTCAAACTACACCGACGACACCTCAGCACTCATCTACGGTCGAGGACTTGGCCGTGTAGTGGGCTTGGTAAAATCTTTCGATAGATGGAACACAGGTATGCGTGTTGAGGGAAATCACAGAAAGGTAGAGTACCTCCGTGGTCTCTCACATCTCCATCAACACATGCGCTCCCACGGCTGTCGCTACGGCTTCATTATTACAGAGATTGAGCTCGTTGTTGTACGAAACGGCTCGGATTCTACTCCTCACTTCGGATATCTTGAGATCCAAACTATTCAACTGAATACCCATGACTCTACTCCATCCACCACCTTATTTTCCGAGTCATCATCGAGCTTCGAAGACTCGTTCTCTGACTCGGAAGATAGCACTCCTACTCCCAAGCCGTTGAAAATGACTGCTCTCATGGCACTTTGGTACCTCCATATGTTGGCTAGAGATGACACACTTCCTGGTCAAGTCGGATGGAAATCCGAAATCGGTGCACCAGCTGAGGGAACAAGAAGAAAGACGCTGCCAAAAGATGAGTGGATCCCAGAACCCCAATTGGCGGAGAAGAGAGAGGCGAAGCGAAGCAGAGGATGGGTTTGGCCGGAAGAGAGTGTTGGGCGAAAGGAACTTGGGAAGAGAGGTGTTAGATATAGTTGTTAGATATCTGGTTGGTGGTTTGGCGTTTGGTGTTAAGGGAAGCCGCTGGTCGGTGATCGGTGGGTTAAACGGGGAAAGGGGCAATGGAAAAGGGCTATGATATGGTAATGGTTTTTATATATGAAATGATGATGAGGGATGACGGGATGAGGATGGGAAGGCATATTAATAATTCAAAATTCAATGGTTCTAGTCAATCTACTCTCTTTTTTGCTTTGAGTGATTCTCCTACTATTAGCTCGCATCATTCAACTGGAGTTGATTGATACGAAAGACTCGAACTTGATCAATTTTATTTTCGTGTCTTGGGGGAATTGGAGTAATCAGAGGGTATGAAGCGCCTTGAGATAACAATCACGACCCACCAATGCCCACAACTCCAAGTGTAGCCCATCACTCCATTTCTAGACCATGAAATCTCTCAAATATCAATTTCGATGCCCCAAACCTCACCAGGGCTTCAGCATTACTCTTTCCATCGTACCTCATTCTCCATCCTTTCTCAACGCCTCCTCAGCACTCATCTTCTCACCACCTCTCCAGAAGCCATCAATGATAGGCTTCCGTCCCGATTTCCCATCCCTAGGCAATTCATTCAAAAATCCCCAACGGCACTTCTCTTTCCAACCCTCCTTCTTCCAATCATTCAAACTCGCCCCCTCAATACCACCATCATTAAAAAGCGGTAAGAAATAAAACAAACTAGGATCATGAGCCAAACAAACAAAGACTCTCGCATCAGCATCAAAGTATATTATCTTGCCCACGGAGTCATCTGCAACGTCAGGATCTGTATAAGCAGACCCTTCACTCCTACTCACTCTGTAATACGGAGTCGTTCTCTTCTCCTCTTCACTTCCTCCAGGATGACAATCCGTGAACATTGTACAAGGACACATGCCCCTCCCGTGAAAGTAGGGATCTAGACCTTCCTTCACAGGATCAAGGGAAAGAGGGAGCGGGATAGAAGGAGAAGGACGTAGTTCACCGGCGAAATGACATGCGTCTGCACCCAAGAGAAGGAAGGTATCAGGTGTAATGCGGGCGAGGGCACACATATGACCTATTGCATGGCCTGGGACGGAGAGGAGGTAAAGAGATCCGGGAGAGGTGGGGAAGTAGTCGTGAGCCTCAAAGTTCCCGATTTTAATCGAATTCAAAAATTCAAGTTCGACGACTTCATGATTTCTAATTCAATATATCGATCAGTTACTGTATTCTTTAAATATTTGAGACTGAATGGAAAGCAAAGGAATGGGAAAGAGAAGGGATACGAACGCATAATCTGTTTCTAGGAGGGACGAATCGGGGTCTGAAGGGTATCCTGGGAGTTTGGCTTTGGAGCATCCGGGTCCAACTATGATTTTTGTTGAAGGGGGAAAGGTGAACATGTCGCCTATGTGGTCGAAGTGCCAGTGACTGTTTGATGTCATTAGCGTGGTGGTATTCAGAAAATCCGACATGTTCTTCTCAGCTTTGAGCCTGAGCTATCCCGACATCAAATACGTCATAAACGAGAAGCCATACAGAACCAAAAGAAATATCCTACGCACCTCCAAACAACGGCCTCGACACTTTCCAACTCCACGCTCCCTGAAGTCAATATTTCATCAACGCCTCTCTCCACTATTATCCCCCTAACATTGACACCCCTTCTAAAACGGTCCACAATCATGGGGCTATAATTCCAGTAATCTTTCCTAGCACCAGCATCAAATATTATCTTTCTCTCCTCTGTCTTGCCAGTTTCTGGGTTTAAAGAAGTGGAAGTGATGAGAAATGCCATGCTGGGGCAGTTATAGTACTCATGACCGGGAATGGTGGGGTCGAAGAAGTTTTCCGAACGTATAGAGAGGGCGAGGGTTGTATTTATTGCTTGAACTTTGACTGTGCTTTGGGAGGCAGGGATTTGGAGGGGGTTTGTGGTAGCCATGGTTGGTTGATGTTTGTTTCTTGCCTTTAGTTACAGGAATCGAATGGAAATCAAATGAAGTGTTCTCTGGGCATAAATATGTTGAAAATGATGAAGCTGAGAGGGAATGGCGAAGTTGAGAAACTGTGATCATAGTACTCCTCGGAAACATATTGCCGACCCGCTGGTTCAGCTAGGAAAGGTGGGGTACATCTCCCCTCGCCCTTAACATCATAGCCCCTTCTGGTATTGCTCCGATATATAGGATATTGTGAGATAAAGCGTTCGGGTCTTTGCGGAGTTTACAGAAGCTTCAACGTATTGAGGCTAAGGAACCGAAGAAGCTCTGTAGTTCACAAAGCCGGCACTTGCACGGGATTTTCGCATCAGATAGAAGTTGACTGGCAATTTGCGGGAAATATAGATAAGCACAGTAGTTATATGACAGCTTGAACAAAATAACCAGCCATCTGAAGACCAGAAGCGCCAATATTCAAAGACTAAGACCTCCTATATCAGTGCATCTTCCTAAATCGAGAAAACGAAATAACTCACGTGACCTCCTCAAACCATCTCCGCCATTTTCTGCTCCTGCATGCCCTCAGCCTCTTTCCACATCTTCTCCCTTTGCTCTCTCATCTTCTTCTCTTCCAAGCGATCCGTCTCTTGAATAACATCATCAATGTCCACCAACTTGCCCGTCCGCCCCTCAACACTATTATTCATCTGCTCAATCTGCGCCTGTTTCCTCTTAGCAAAGACCTCCTCCCCTTTAGTCTCATGTTTCCAGCCCTTCTTTCCTTTGCGTCCCTGTTCCCATTCATCTTCTCCAATAAGATAAGGATTCTGACCCGAGTACCCTAAAACCACCACCCTTTCCACCTCCTTCATGCCATCAAGCTCATAGAATGCTTTCCGGACTAATTCGTGTTCATGGAGGTCGTAGTCCCTGAGTCCTTTCTTCTTATCATTGGTCCACCATTCTATACGCAGTTTTCCGGGGTTGTGATGTTTGGGAACATCCCCTGTAAAGGCGGTGTAGAGCGATGATTTCAAGGCGCTGTAGTATGAGTAGGCGTAGCCTTCTTGCTTCTCGGGGTGTGAGTCGAATAGGATTGTTGGTTTGCCTATGTCGAAGACTTGTGGTCTGGAAGCCATTCTCTTTGGTTTGCTTTTGGGTGAGGACTCGCTCCTATTGGGGTAGAATGGGTGGATATATAAACGTTGAGGTGAAGGCTTTTGAGAGATTTTCCGGAATGCTCGGGCTTCCGGGAGTTATCGGGATACGCTGGAATTCAACTGGGATTTTGATATCATTAGTAAATGATACTTAGGCAACATGAAAATATGTGTATGAAGCCGCGGAATCTTTCTTCCTTTAGGGACGAGGTTAGTTTGGTTAAGCGCGGAGCGCTAATAGCGCCGTTTGCGAGTACGCTGCTTGAATTGGGTGGGGCTGGATGACACTAAAGTAAAAACGTGACTTCATGAAAATGTGCCTCCTATATCAGATTATGAAACAGGTATCGCTTGTTATACCACTCAAACGATGATACTTCACTCGTCTCCAAATGGTGTTCTTCTCCTCTGGAATTTTATAGAGACAATCGGATGGAAGGCTTCCGCTGTTATTTCACGTGATATCTTCACAATTTAGAATCAAATGTGCTCATACTACTACAGCGGAAATACTTCTACCGTCTTGCCCTTCTACACTTTTGATAAGGTTAAATGACCAGCATTTTCGGTGTCTGGAAGACTAAAAAGCAAGCTTCAAGTTTAATCTTTGGAGGATGGCCCAAATTTCGTTACGGCTTTCAAGTTATAAGTCTTCAATGATTGCAGAGATCAATTATAAGCGAGTTCTGGAGGATACTGGGCGAGTTCTCGTGCGACAAGTATTCAATTTAAACCGAACTATAACTGTGGAGTTCTCATGGAACATAAAGAAACACGAACTTTCCACATCAACGGTTTATAATCTAACTTTACCATTCAATAAGTTAGTATACAGGTTTGCATTCAAGAGCGTCGCCTTACATCTTCCTAATCAACGTCCCATTCATTGGTAAAAACACCCAAGCACTACTCCGAATATATTCCATGACCAAAAAAAAACGTTCAAGCTCTTATGGTGCTTGTTTCCATGCACTTCCATGCTGCATCTACTTCTCGAACAATGTTAAATTCAGTTTTGAGTGTTGCTGAGCCATCTCAGTCAGTGTTTGCTCGAAAGACTGTCCTAACTGGTTTAGGGAGAAAGTAGTTGCATATTTGTAAGCTAACTGTTGGAAAACTTATAGTACTCTGCGCTGGTGCATGTAACGTTTTCCTGCTTTCCGTGCTGAGTTTGTCACATGTGGAATTGATATTAATATTTTTTCGCATTTTGACTCTCATTTGCAGCATGAAATGGACCATGTGGTAACGGGTCAATGACGCGGGATGGGGCTAGCACTATGTATCACCTTGAAGCGGAATACCTAGATTTTACTCTAAGTTTTCATCATTTGAAATCTAGAAAATCCAGTACACACGTTGAAAACTGAAAATTGATGACAGGTGTCTTGCTGAAAAAAAATATAAGTTTGCCTTCATCTAGAGGTACGAGACAACTGTTATGGTTCACCTCAGCTGTCAGTTATTATACGACTTAAGTACCCTGATTTCCGGGTCCCGTACGACTTTACTACCTTTTCCCCCTGTAAAACTCTCTTCTATCCCTTACGCTACCCTCGTCGTATGCAATTAAAAGGATAAATACGTCTTAGAGGCAATTTAAGCCCTAGATAGCGATACTACTTTTCTCCGTTATAGGACGCCTAACTGGCGGGTATACCAAGGCAAGAGCGAGGGGGAAAATAAAGCTATTCGCAACTTCGAAAGTACTTAGGAGATTTAAGTAGCTTTACGAGTAGCTAGATAGGTACCTTTTATCTTATCCTACCAAGGTAGGCATAATTAGAAATACGATCTAATTAAATAAGTGTCTTATTTATTCTATCTTAGCTACCTTCCCCTACCTAAAAAAGGATTAAGTATAAACTATAAGCTAGCTAGCTAATTAATTCCTCTTTGACTCGAGATACTTAGTAGACGAGAGGAATTGAGCTACCTCTCTATCTACACTACAAAAGGTTCTTTAGAAAGCAGTGTGCTAACAGGGGCAGGGATAAAGGTAGTGAAGTCGTGCGAATCCCTGAAATCAGGATATTGAAGTCGTATAATCGCTGTCAGTATAGCTTCAGCTTGGCGATATGCACGGATTATCCTCAACGTTAAAATAAGCATGCGGAAATCGCCATGCGTAAGAACCGCGTATCCGAATGATGGAATGTTGGGGAAAAGAACCCACTTTTTAAGCTCGTCGTATCTGAGTTTCTATTCCCTGTAATCATGAACTGATATCTGACGACCTGATCTTGTGGCGAGGAATGATACTCTGTAGCATTTGTACGGTCAGATTTTTAGAAGAAGCATATTCACAGCGCGAAAAAAATGGGGAAAACTTGTGAAAGTTAAAAAGACCTCGTCGACCAGAAATGTGACCATACAGTAACCCCAGATACACTCAATCGCGTATGGGCCAGTGTCTATTTCGCTCTCTGTGGATTTGTAGGATGCATTGTAAAGGTTACCTAAAACCATATAACATCAGAAACAGTTTGCGGTCTATCACTCGCCAGCAAAATTGTAATTTGCTTCAAACATCTTTCACCCGCGCCGATTTGAACAGTTACGATCTCTGGATCTCAGTCACACAGCCTGACGCACTCTGCAAACATGTTATTGCCGTCACAGGCAGCAGCATATCACCAATACTTGAGAGCTAGTCTTCACCGCTTGTCGCAACCACTGCGTAGCAAGTTTTAGTTCTGGTAATCAGACTTTCAGGTGATGGCACTGCTGATATTATTTCAAACCCAAATAATATACACGGTAAATACAACAAAAGCTATAACAATACCAGCGCTACTTCATTTCTCTAGGCGAGAATGTCATCAAAGATGGAAATCTTTGTAAAAGAGGCTGAGATCCTGAGATGAGAAGTCATGCATACGTTTCTACGTTTGTAGGGTGGAAAATAGGAAATTACATTGGTTGTTCTAAAGTCACTCTGCGGCAGGAGACGGGGAGTGACGACGAAGATGGGTGATCGACTTCTCTATATCTGGTCTCTGGAACTCAGTTGGCTGATAAGTTTATGTGGCCTCCATCATCAATAGAGTCATCGAAAACAAGCTTCGCAGCCGACCCAAACCTGCTACTGTATCAAATTTTCAAGTGTCAATGAAGAGAATACGTAAGGGTGGAGTAAGAGTATCCACTCTACCAACAATTCCTAGAAGAATAAAGTTTTTCTACCATCTACTTCGTCCCAGGCGAAATAAATATAGGGTTTTCAGGGGGTTTAACACTGTTCTCCACTAAAACCACCCTAGCAAACCTACATTTATTTCCCCTGGGACGAAGTATGGTCTGTGCCAAGTCTGTGTTATGCCAAGATGTTACGACCTGTTCGGCTCGAAAAAATCTTGAATCTAAATCCAGGTTCTACCATACAAATTAGAGTTTAGTACTCGATACGAGCCCTGATTCGCATCGAGAGAAAGAATGAGGATAACAGCTTGTATTAAATAACCATTGGCCCAACTTGCCCGGAAGGACGTCTACAAATTTGCTTAATTGTACACATAACCACTCCCCTGTTCCATGGCCGGTCTACCTACTACTCCCCCCAAACATGACGAAGCCCCCGCGAGTTATATTTTAACTATAATTCCTATCTATTACCACCACAGTAACTAGGATACCCTTAATTAACACTCCTAGACCGAACTTACCTCTTACAAGTACCTAAACGGACCTTTGTAAAGCGTCTACTCGGAAAGCTAGTATAGGAGGATTTAAACCCCCTATAGAGTTTCTACCGCTCCTTCCTTCTAACATAGAGAATATAACTAACGACTATAGAGGTCGAACTTTAATTTAAGAATTATATACTAAAAAGGCCGAACTTAAAAACCCGACTTTAACTAACTTAACTATAAACTTTTTAGCTAGTTTAACTTATTAAAAATACTAAAAAAAACTATAGCGATTATATATTATACTAGGGCGTCCGTCCGTGCGAGGTTTACTAGAAAGAATAAGGATAACAGCTTATATTAAATAACTATTAGCCTAACTTGTCCCGAAGAACGTTTATAGATTTACTTAATTATATATATAACTACTCCCTTATTCTATAGCTAGTATTAGGGACAAAACGGGAGACTATTAGAATAAGCTATAAAAGTAGATTAAAGAGTAAAGCTAGCTAAAGGAGTAAGGAAGGAGTCTTATAAGACGATCCCAACCGAGTAGAAGCTACTAGAATACTTAATCCCAGTATAAGAGTCTCTAGGGTTTACGTTCTAGACTTTACAAAGGATTCTAGAGTCTCTTTTAGTGATCCGAGTGTCATGAATCACGTGATAAGAGAAGACCAGGCGGCGTCCTGAAAGGTCAAGCACTATCAGTACTCTTATAGCAAATAGGGACGCTTAGGCTAGCTAAGCGATCCAGGGATTTCATTCCATTCGTATCACGTGACTAGTTGTGCTAGACAGGGCGACCGGTCGCGCGGTCTTGCAGCGACGGGGCGACTGGGCTAGCAAGCTAGCACAGGAACATGAA